CTTAAAACAGTTCCCCCATCGACTATGCTACCAAAATAAAAATATACGAAAGCAACCAAAAATTAAAATAAAAACGAGACAAATATTTTCCAATTTGAAATTTTAATATTATTTTCTTTTAACAAGCTGTTAGTAAACAACAAAGAGAACATTTTTTTCTAAAACAATATTAACATTTTATAGTGTAAACTATATAAAATAATAATTCCGCCGTTTTATTAATAAACATTTTAATAAGGCTTGTTCACACGTTTTGATTACAAAATATAAGGTAACATAATATGTTGATGTAATACATAGATTTATAATATAAAATTTATTTTGATAGTATTCTTCAAGGTAAATTAGATATATGAAGAAATGTTAATGAAGAGCATACTACTATGTATAATAAAATCATTCTATAAATAAAAAGAGGCTAGATAATGTTGTTGACAGAAAGCATCACTTGAAAAAAGTATTAAGATACTGTAATGTATCAGCCACATACCCAAGGGAAACAACCCTACCCCAAGCGCAATCGTTAATCAGTTAGCCCGGTATGTATTAAGTCAATATAGCAAGAAAATAAAAGAAACAAAATAAGGGGTAGTTAGCCTAGAAAAGAACAATAATTATTATTCATCATCATCATCATTCCTCAACCTCTTGCATCACTGTTGGATATAGGTCTCCTCATGTTCTTCCGCTGTTCTCTATCTTGCGCCTTCTGTATCCAATTTCCGACTGTTTTTCTCAAGTCGTCCATCCATCTTTTTGGTGGTCTGCCTCGGTGTCTTTTGTCTTCTCTAGGTCTCCATTCTATGAGTCTTTTGGTCCACCTATTATCATTTAAACGTGCTATATGTCCAGCCCATCTCCATTTGGCTTGTGCAATTTTTTCTATGACATCTGTCACTTTAGTCCTCTCTCTCACTATCCTATTTGGTACCATATCTCTTCTAGTTATTCCCAACATTGCTCTTTCCATTTTTCTTTGGGTTACTCTCAATTTATTTGCAGAATGTTTGGTTAAAGTTATTGTTTCGGAACCATATGTTATTACTGGCAGTATGCATTGGTTGTAAACCTTTTTCTTCAAGCAAATCGGTAGCGTTCCTTTTAGAATATCTCGCATCTTGCCAAATGCTGCCCATCCCAAGCCTATGCGACGCTGGATCTCACAAGTTTGATTGTCTTTTCCTATTCTAATTTCATGCCCTCAATAGATATAGCTAAAGACCTGATGTACTTCGTTCCCATCTACCCTCATAACATCACTTGGAACTAAATTGGTCATGTATTTTGTTTTTTCAAAGTTTATGTTCAGGCCTATTTGTTCTATTGCCTGTTTTAGTTCTTCCATCATTTTGTGAGCTTCATTTAAACTCTCGGCTATAATGACAATATCATCTGCAAAGCGCAAGTGGCTTAAGTATTCACCATCAATATTTATTCCCCTTTTAGCCCAATCTAGTTTTTTAAAGGCATATTCCAGAGCTGCAGTGAATAGTTGGGGGAGATGGTGTCGTCCCTGTCTAATTCCTCGCTCAATTCTATATTTATCGGTAAAGTCATGGAGTTTAACAGATGCTGTTGCGTTGTTGTATATATGTTTTATCAAATTTGTATATCTATAGTCTACTCGGCTTTGTTCTAATGCTCCTAATACTGCCGGTAATTCCACGGTATCAAAAGCTTTGTTGAAGTCTATGAAAATCAACGTGAGTGGTTTATTATATTCAACACATTTTTCAATTAGTATTTTAAGTGCTTGTAGGTGGTCATTTGTTCCATAACCTTTCCTAAACCCAGCTTGCTCCTTAGACTGATAGAAATCTAATTTTCGTTCTAAACGTTTTGTGATGATCTTGGGTAAACCATTTGTAGAGATGTGACAACAGACTTATCGGTCTATAATTCTCTAGGTCTGATATATCTGGTCTGATAGTACGTCTGATATATCTGGCCAACGTTTTCTTGGCTTATTTCAGATGCCCCTTAAGATGCTATTTTAAGCGAAAGTACTTGGGCTAGATTTAATTAACTTGTGCTCGATAATAGCCTTATTTTTCAATAGTTCATCAATTTTTTTGACAAATAACCAGAGGCAAACGTAAGAATCCTTATTAATTAAATGTGAAACTATAATTTTATTATTTATTTGATTAATCTATCAAAATCAACTCAAACCCAAACAAAATTAGTATGGTTGATAAGGCATGTTCAGATAAGGTATGTACGAGATATCACTAACTTGGTATAATGTCCAATTTAAAATTATGAGTCACGGTGGCTCTGTAACTTCATCTATCACTATTACATCAGTTATTATGACTAATTGAGAAATCTCAATTTATTTCCTCCTTCCTAATGTCAATTAGTTAAACCATTTTTACTGTATTCAACATATTAACCAAAATAAATCCCTGTTTATTACATCATTGACTACATAAATTTTCCGTAAACAGTAGTGATTTAGCAATTACTCACAACGATTACAAAGGTAATACTGTTGTATTGCTTTTTAACATCTAATAAACAAAAACTACATGAGCAAATTACCATAGAAAGGAAAATGTGCACAAGCACTGAAGCGAACAAAAAGAGTTTCAAGGTTAATTAAGATGGGCATATATCTAATTGGTTGTTTCCTTGAAATGTGAACAATTTTTTTTCTCTATTAACAATTTGTTTAATGACCAAAACCCTCATAGATCCGGAAAGGCAAGGAAAATCATTGAAAATGCTATGCAAAATTATAAATTATTATACTTAATAGTAGTAATTTTATGTAATAGTTTTTTAGTTTACTGTTTGTTAAGTTTTCATTCTATACTATATCGCTGCATGGCATAATTTGAATAATAAATGCTTAACTAAACATTTATTAGGAGTAAATTTTGGCAGTGGAATTTTCCTTCCATTCCAGATTTGGTTCAAGGTACAAGGTGTCAGTATAATATTAGCTAGTAAACTTTTTGGGGTAGAGAACTAAAATCTCTAAAAATAATACCATTGTTCGATCAATATTCGAACCCCTTTTTATGTTCGAACATCAAACTGCAAAACATTCGTTTTAAACCCATCAAACATTTCTTCAGGCGTTGAGAATTAGCCGCGATATTTATTTTTGCACATTGCACATTTATTTAACACTTTTGAACACTAGTATATAAATGATGGTGAATCATTCATGACTGGTGGTCTAATATTATTTGATTTGACTCATACATTCTATTGGTATGTAGCTTCATCCTCTTCACATAGGTATCCTCTGGAAGTGCTCGGTACTTGGCCTACCAGAGGTGGTAGATCCTGGGTCCGATCTTTATGCAACCGAGTCACATGAGGTAGTTATCCTTAGAGAGACATGTGGCTTTCTTTGTAGTGACAAGAAAGGGCTTAGACTTGGAGCTCCTGCTGATTACTGCAGGTATGGGAGCCCGGAACAGCCTGGGCCCCAGAAACGCTGTAGACAAGGTCCTTATGGCCCTATTGCGTATGATAGGGGTCATATAATGGACCTCTCTTAGGAGGTCTAAGTGTTTGAAAGGACTCATAATTATATCATATAACCATATAGCTTCATGCTCATACTTACATCATCGAAACTCGCACGTTGGCACAATGTTAAAAAACAGTGCTTATCACGCAAATTGGTCTTATCACAACTATCATACTGATCATATTTTACCAAGAGACCTATCCTAATGTTTGTGTTTTTCGAAAACTTGTGTTTTATTTGTGAACAAAACATATGTCTTTCTAAATGGAAAAACAAATATTTAAGTATCTCTGTACGAATATACTTTCCTCAAAAACTATATCCGTGATATGGCACCAATAGCACGAAGACAGTTCATGTGTCATTAAAGGAAATTTTACGGCATAAAATTCCTCCTTTCCACAGTATATAAATTATTTGTCTTTAATAGGATGATTGTCATACTAATAGCTCTGTCACTGTTACTGATTTTCTCAATGAATCTTTTCCTCAACGGACAAAATCGAGGAATGGAATGTTCAAATAGTCACCTCAATTTGTCGACTTCCGTCGTCAAAAGTTCCCATTCTAGGTATTGGTAGATTTCCTATGTAGGGGTTTAAATCTCCTTAAATTACGACTTGGCCTATTCTGTTGATATTGAACCCCGATGTCTAAGAACAAAAATATTTATAAGGACTATCAGGATTCCTCAGAGCGACTATATAGAAGCTGTAAACGTGAAATTAATTTTTTTCCGTCGAAAGAAATAATTATAAAAATATAATTATTTCTAGCAGTTCATCTAAGCAAGAACTTTTAACGAACTGATTTCCTGAACGTGAGTAAATAAAAATACAGAAAAATATTTATATTTTATATAATTGCCAAATCGTTTCTTTGATAAAACGAAGAATATCGCTTGCAAGTTCTGGCAAATGGTTCTGGAAAGTTATTATGGACTAATCACTAACACCCTAGAAAAGGTGTCAAGAAAACAAGAAAAATTAAAAGTCGTGATAGACTTCCAGTTCTTAAGAACGGGGTTGACGTGTATGCTTTTTAACTTAGATGAAAACAGACCATTATTATTCTAGAGAAAAATCCTCAGAAAAATTTTGGGAAATGTAATCGAATCTGATGTCATCGATAAAGCTTTGAGCAATACAATTAGCACTAAACAAGAAATACCTGGAGGCAAAGATATAATCGCTGCAATAAAAATTAGACGCCTGTTGTGCTGGGCAGGAGATTTAGTATCTAGATACCCTAGATACAGACAGTGAAAGCTACCCTCAACTGATGACAAGCTGAATGCCTACAAGGAATAGGAGCAAATACAGTAATACTCTTAGAAAGTACTTGACTCAACTTGGTTATAGCACCACTAACGATGATAATAGCCAATATACATCGGATAAACACCTCTAATATCATAGATTTTATACTGAACCCAATGGTTCTGCCTCTATCTGATATTATTCTACTTTTAATTAATAGACATTGCAAACCATTTAACTTAGTATGTTTTTAGCTTGTTTCAGAAGAGTGCTAGCTGGAAAAAGGATATCGCGTGGACTGGTTAGACGAGCGTTATCCTGTGAGAGTGTCGAAGAATGCCAAAAGGAATGTGCTGATGAAAAAATATTTGCTTGCGAAGGTTTCAATTACAGGTAAGATATACATATGGTTGCAATGTGTTAGTGAATATTCAGTAAAAATTGTTCTTTACAAATTAGTATAAAGCAAGAAAAGATATTTAGATTTATATGTATTGATCTATTGTTTACATCTATTCTAATTGTATCGTTACAACTACTCTGAACATTCTCATAATGTCCAGATATACCACATACCTTGGAAAGTAAATGTGAAAAATCGCCTTTCTCGAACATGCTGATAGCCAACCACCCAGGTAGTTTCAAGACTTGTTCTTAACATAATTAGTGCTATTTTTACTTAAAAAATTACCAATAAAACAAGCAGGCTTTAGATCTGGCCGTAGCTGGTCTAACCAAGTACTTACAATACAAGATCCTACATAGAGGCTGGTTTTTAACAGAAACTGAAAAAAGGTGCTTTATTTCTGGACCTACTATCAGCCTATGTCACTGCCTGGAAATAGGATATACTCTACAAGCTGCTAAGAGTCATTCATTGCCATGCAATGGTACGCTTAATTCAAAATATATTGAGTAACAGAAATGTCCAAGTAACTACCAACGCAGAGATAATAAACCAAGGTTCATCAATAATGGGTTTCCACAAAGCTCAGTACTTGCTCCTCTCTCTGTTCAAGCTTTAGAGCTGGCCACTAGATACAAGCCTGTCTCCAAAGCAGAAGAAGTCCTTAATAATAATTTTGAAATACTTATACAATTATTTTAAGAAATGGAGACTGAAGTCGAATAAAAAAAAATTGAATCGGCGACTTTCCATCTTAATAACAAAATGACAAGTGAAAATATAAACATATAACTCAGAAATACCAACAATGGATGTAACTAGTTACCAAAATAATAATAATAATAATAAATGCGCATAATGCACCTGACTAAACAAGAGAAAATGCGCACGTGGATGAGTAAACCTCTGCATGGGCGACGTCTCAATGAGATCAGGCAAGAATATATCGAGAATACAGCGTCGAACTATTGGTTGGCAACAGGAAAGATGTTTCCCAAGACTGAGGGTTTCCTCTTGCCATTTAGGATTAGGTTATTCCAACTAAAAATTACCTGAAATATATTGTTAAAGATCCTCAAGTCCAAAATGATAAATGCTGATATGGATGCCAAGCCCAAGAAACCATCCAATACCTTACAGCGGGCTGCCAGGCGTTTGTCGATACTGATTATAAAGAACGCCATGACTCAGTAGGAACGATTACCCACGATGAACAAGCTGGCAAAGTGGGACTTCTCCAAACCGACCATCTACCCTATTATCAATACATCCCTCACAGAATGCTTGAAAATGACAACTACAAGCTATACTGGGACCGCACTGTACTCACAAACCAACCACACCAGTGGTATATAATAGACCGGATCTCATACTAGTTAATAAACTTACTAGGAAAACAACACTTATTTAAAAATACAACGAAAAGATTGCCAATTACAGAAATCTAAAAATAGAAATCAGGAGAAAATAGAGAATGTAAAGTACCCAGACAGTACATTTGTTCTATTTACTACTGGTGTTATTTCCAAAAACCTCCTAGATAACTTAAAACAGCTAAATGAACAAATCTATAAGGCCACGCAGAAAGCTGTACTCCTTGCGATGTCCAGATGTATACGAAAATTTTTGGAAGATACTCCAGCATACCAAGTCACCTAGGGCTAGATAACACTAAAAGAGCCCCACCAGAGCTCAATCTTTTTGATACCGTAGGTATCTGGGATGAGTGAATTTTCCCCTTAGAGGGAGTGTGAGCCGTATGGCTAAATCTGGAATATAATATTTATTTATAACAAAAATATTTTGTTACAATAGCAATTTATATGTTGTACAATATATAAATAAACCCAGTTTCTCACAGAAGTTGTGTGTCACATGGACTACAATTACAATTATAAAAACTTTAAAGTAGTACCATGGAAACTGTTGACTAATTACAATTAGGAGAATACAAAATTTAAAAATATGACATTTATTTGACATTTCAGCTCATTAATACCTGTTCATTAGTTTATGCAATGTATATCTATTACCATGGATTCATTGTTTTAATTCGTCTTTAACATTTTTATAATTATGTATTGTTTTAATGATAGATGGTAGACAATGGAAAATTTTTGGTCCAAAAAAATCAATGCGATATTGGCCAATGGTTTTTTTATTTTTTTGTTACTAATATCGTTAAATTTCTATTTCTAGTTTGATATGTATGATGGGTACAATTCAGAAATAATTTCTTATTGTTTAAATATAATAACGATTTGTAGAAGAACAACTGGTTTAAATCCATGAAATAACTGTCTGTAGATAATTGGTCCACTGAAGATTTTATACCCCTTCTATCTAGATCCATCCTTCGAAATTCGATGTAGAATTGAACAGGCAAGAAACTCATTTCAAAAATTCAAGCCTCTATTATCCAATAACTCATTAAATTTGGAAATCCGTGAAAAGTTTACAAGATGTTACGTGTGGTCTGTACTTTTGTATGTACAGAAAATAGAGGTGTTTGAGATGTGGTTGTATCGAGGGATACTAAAAATTCGATGGACTAGCAGAACCAGAAACGAAGAAGTTCTTCGAAGAATAGGACATCAACGAACTCTATTAAATATTATTAAGAGGCGTAAACTAGAATATCTTGGACATATAATCAGAGGACCAAGATATGAGTTCCTTCGGCTAATTCTCAACGGTAAAATCGAAGGAAAGAAATGGATAGGACGGAAGAAACTCTCTTAGTTGAGGAATTTGCGGCAGTGGACAGGTTTGACAGCGGACCATTTGCCACACGTAGCGCAACACCGAGATCAGTATAACAATATTATAAGCATGGTAGTCACCGACGTTCCGTAGGGATATGGCACTCTAAGAAGAAGAAGAAGACTTTTAAGGTGAGCATTGTAGGCTCCACCCCATCCAATAATCCCATAGGCCAATTGTGATTGTATTGGAGAATAGTGTAAAATGTTTAAGTAGTAAACATATGTGATATTGCGATCCGTTTGTCTATTACAATACCAAGGTACTTAATGTTTTCTACATTAAGTACCTTGTTTGTTCTACAAACACTAATGTTTGTATTTTGAAAACGATTTCCGAAGTGGAAATTGAAACGTCAATAAACGTATTTTAACCTTTAATTGTAGCTTATTCCCATTTAAATAGCAATTACTTTCGCAATAATATCATCCAAAAACTCAGCGGTACTACCTGGGGCACCACTGCAACTGCAGTATATACTTTATGCCTTAGCATTCTCTATGGCAGAATATCCGATTAAGTTTGGACAGCTGTCACACCAAACTTATTGATAGATAATTGAATACTACAATAAGGATGATGTCTGGTATTATTAAGTCGACAACCACACACTGTCTACCAGTGTTATTTATGTACCATGTATTGAGTCAATTTAAAAAGTTTCAAGCCAAATTAGAATTACGAATCCAAGAATTTCCACAGCTGCGGTGTACTAGACTAAAATCAAGAAAGCCTCCCAGAAACACAGCTAAATAACTCAAAAACAATAATTAAGAAAAACTCTATAAGACAGGGGAGTTTCGATTGAAATCAACAGACAAATGACCAACTGTAAACCTGGTTTGAAGTCTACACCTGTAATATTACCGACATGGAATTAAATCGCAAACAATGGTCCGCATTGTCGAGTGCGCACTGACCATGGCAGGTGTGAAGATTATCTGCATAGATGGAGAATATCGAAATCACCTGAATATGCACCTATGATGAATATCAATTAGGAGCATTTACAGAGAATTGGTCTGACTTCCTGGAGGCTTTCCCGATATCGTTAGAATGGATTTCGAACCTCGATATCGATATTTAGTTTATTATTTGTTATTAGATATAACATATTATATTAATGCTGCAGGTAGTTATACGGTAAATAAAAAAATAAATATCGTCACTTCTTGAAAACTGTGGTAATTCGATATTTTTTTAAAAACAGACACCATATTTTTGTATCGATGAGCCAGACCTAGTATAATCATCATAATTATAACAAAATTCCCGGAGATTTGATAAACTGAGTGTTAATAACAAGCATTTCTCGAAGAATAATTATAGTGATGTTCTCTGAAGATACGTTTCATGCCACCACAACATTGCAATTAACTTCTTCAAGGTGATCCTTAGTTTCATTTAAAGAGTAGTCACAGTCTGTGAGATTGTTCTCACCAATTTTTGATAATTTGTATTACGCTTTTTGTTGGCAATAATGAATAAAAGATAAGTGGTGAATAGAGGTAAAGTCAAGGTAGATGTTACTTGTTTACATTGCTTTTAAGGACTTACGATTTGTGTTTAAGTGGGAATCGCCAAATAGCCGTATTATTATCCTCGTCTTTAAATATATTTTGGCCGAAAATATAATTCAGTAAAAACTTTCATCAAGCTTGTAATTGGTTATTATGTCAACTTATTACTACAGATAATGAATTGGTTGCTCGTGTGAGTCCATTTTAAACTAGGTAGTAGAAATAAATGATAGAATTACAATCTATTTATTTAGTAAGCGATCGCTACCGCATGTTGCGCTTCTCTGAACTCTTACACCTTGTACTTTTAGTCGATTTTTTTGTTTTGTTACAATATAATCGATTATTGATTTTATGTTTCGTATTTCCTGAATCCATGTATAGCTGTGTATCAGTTAATGTGGAAAGTATCCATTTAAGATTTTGAGTTGATTCTGGTTGCATAAATCTATGAATCTTTCACCATTGTTGTTCGTGGTGTCTTCTCCGTATTTTCCTACTATTTTATCCGCATCTTTTCTTCCTACTCTACTGTCAATATCTCCCATTAATATTATTTCCCGCGATTTACTTACTTTCGATATTTCTTCGTGGAGCTGCTAAAAAAATGCGTCTTTTACGTTGGCTAGTGCGTCGTTATTTATTACGTATATGCCCATAATTGTTATAGTTATAGTTAGCTATACAGCCCTAAACATCCATCATTGGATATAGGCCTCCTCCTCCTTCTTCCATGCCTCTCTATCTTGGGCAATTTGCATCCATTTTGACCCGGCGTGTTTCTTCAGGTCATCTGACCATCGCATTTGTGGCCTTCCCCTTTTTCGTTTGTGATTCCATGGTCTCCAATGTATAATTGTCTTAGTCCATCTTTCATCTTTCTGCCTTAGGGTGTGTCCGGCGAACTTCCATTTAAGCTTTGCTACTTGGGTTGAGACTTCTATCACTTTTGTTTTATTACGGATCCATTCGTTTCTTTTTCTGTCTGATAGTTTAATGTTCAGCATTTGTCTTTCCATGGATCTTTCTGTCTTTGCTATTGTTTCCATATTTTCCTTTGTAAACGTCCATGTCTGAGAACCATATGTGAGGACAGGGAGTATACATTGATTGACGACTCTCGTTTTTAGGTATTGGAGGTATTTTAAATTCTTTAAAATATAAGACAGTTTTCCGAATGATGCCCAGGCCAATCTTATTCTTCTCTTTATTTCTTCGGTCTGATTTTCTTTATTTATTTAGTGATTTGGCCTAGATATATATACTCTTTTACTTTACTTATATACTTTTACTTTTTTAAAAGAAGACACATATTTACTTTAATTAATCTTTCACTTATGGCTTCCCAGGTTGGTATGAACTTTCTTAGTCTCCTGTGAATTATTAAAGAAATTCCCTGTTGAGAAATTCTTTTGGTACTCCCCTATAGAAATGGTCATATTTTCCTAGATTTTCAGACCCGTTCCGTTCTTTTTTGTTTCGGGAATAACTGCTATGTCTATTTTTAGTTGTGTTAATTCATGTAAGACTTCATTGATGTACCAAAAAATCGTGTCCTTTTTCGAAGAGTGCTTCTTCTATCTATATATTAATATTTATTTCTCTTTTCATAAAATTATTTATTGTTTCTTATAGTAACCTTCTATCTCCCAGATTGTCATTCTCTGTACTATTACATTATTTTCATTTCTTGTTCTATCCGACCGCTCAAGTTCTTCTTCCAGTTTCTTTTTAATCTGTTCATTTTCCTTTCGAATTTCGCTATTCTCTTGTTTTAGTTCTACTAGTTCAATTCTTTACCGTACTATAAGCCTAATGAGTCATCTCCTAAAATTGTTCCTGAAGATAATTCATAAGAGAATCTACAAGCTGTGTGAAAGTCAAATTTCCCCTAACCAGTTCGGGTTCACAAATGCTGTTGTTACTGGAGAGGCTTTGTTCCAGTACTTATTCCAGAGATGCAGAGACGCAGACTGCGACGTATATGCATGTCTGGTTGATTACGAGAAAGCTTTTGATCGAGTACACCACGCCAAGATGATGCAAATACTAAAAGAAGCAGGAATTAATAACCAAGATCTGAAAATAATTAGAAATCTTTACTGGAATCAGACAGCATATCTTAGAGTTGAAGGTGAACACACTGACTATGTGAAAATGATGCGTGGAGTGAGGCAAAGCTGTATTTTGTCTTCTCGAATTTTCAGTCTGTACTTTAAAAGAACATTTATCGAAGCTTTGCACGAAACTGAAAAGGGTATTTATTCTACTAAATCATCATCATCAATCAGCCAATCGCGTCCACTGCTGGACATAGGCCTCCCTCAGTTCTTTCGTGTTCTCTACACTGGGCCGCTTGTAGCCAGTTTCCCGCTACACGTTTTATATCATCGGTCCATCTAGTCGGTGGTCGTCCTCGGCTTCTTTTATAGTTTCTGGGCCTCCATTCCATAATACGTCTTGTCCACCGTCCATCTTGTGCTCTGGCTAAGTGCCCTGCCCAGTTCCACTTAAGCGACGTGGTTCTTTCGATGACGTCTTGAACTCCTGATCTTTGCCTGATTTGTTGGTTTGTTATGTGGTCTCGGAGGCTCACGTTCAGCATTGCACTTCCATGGCTCGTTGCGTAACTCTGAGTTTATTCGCAGATTTTTGCGTGAGTGTTAAAGTCTCCGCTCCATAAGTTTGTACAGGTAAAACACATTGGTCATAAACCTTTCGCTTGAGACACATGGGAATTGAACTTTTTAGAATATGGACTTAATTTGCCAAATGCTGCCCAAGTTAGGCCTATTCGCCTCTGTATTTCATGTGTTTGATTGTCTCTGCTCATTTTGATTTCGTGTCCCAGATATTTGTAAGTGTCTGTTTGTTATATGTTATTATTGTCAATAGTTATATTTCCACTCATTACGAGATTTGTTATAAGTTTAGTTTTCTCAAAGTTTATTTTTAATCCTGCTCTTTCAGACAGACTTTTAAGCGAATGCATCATAGAAACTGTATCTTGTAAATTAAATTAAAAAATTATCTGCGATTAATACAACATCATCTGCAAATCTTAGGTGGTTTATTCTTTCTCCATCTATATTGATGCCCATATCTTGCCATTGAGTGCTCTTAAATATTGACTCTAGAGCTGCCGTGAACAATTTTGGTGAAATATTGTCTCCTTGTCCAACTCCTCGACCTAAGCTGAATTTTTCTGTGTCTTCGTGTAGTCGTATACTTGATGTAGCGTTCTCGTAGATGTTTTTGATTAGTGTCGTGTACCTGTAATCTATTCGGCTTTGATTTAGGGCTTCCAGTATTGTTTCAAACTCTACAGAATCAAAAGCCTTCTCGTAATCAACAAATGCAAGAACCAGTGGTATGTTGTACTCGATGCACTTTTCTATTAAGATCTTTATGGTATTCAAATGGTCATTTGTGCCATATCCTGCCCTGAAGCCTGCCTGTTCTTTGGGCTGATAGAAATCAAGTTTAGGTGTTAGCCTGTTTGTTAAGATTTTCATAAAGAGTTTGTACATATGTGTCAAGAGTCTGATGGGTCTATAATTTTCTAATTTAGTAATATCGCCTTTTTTGTGTAACAAGACTATTACTGCATTGTTCCAGTCTTTTGGAATCGTACGCGCATGTAAGCATTTATTAAACAGTTCGCTTACTGATTTTAATAAAATTTCTCCTCCTGCTTTTATTGCCTCGATAACGAGTCCATCATCACCAGTCAATCGATGGTTCTTCATTTCCTTTAAAGCTGCTTTTACTTCTGACACAGTAATGGGTAAAAGTATTTCCGATCCCTGATTTATGAGAGTCTTTACTCGTGTCGGGAAATTGTCTTGTGGTCTTTGGCTGGTATAGAGGTCTTTATAAAACTCTCTGGTTATTTTCAGAATGTTTTGTTTATTTGTTGTTGCCTTTCCGTCTTTATCTCTCAGCTTGTATATTTCTTTTTTACTTGGTGAGTTTTCTTTTTATTATCTTTAAACCTTTGTTCTCTTCTACTGTTCTACTAAATGGTTACCGGCTAAACAACAGCAGATATGCAGATGACAGTATTTGCGGACAATTTAGAAGACCTACAAGTTCTTATGAACAAAATCACATATTACAGTCAACAATATGGACTCAATATAAACGTTAAGAAGACAAATTATGATAATGATAATTAGCAAGAAAAGGATAACAGAAGGTCAACTCTACGTCAACCAATCCCCTGTAGAAAGAGTGACGCACTATAACTACCTCGGCACAATAATAAATGAAGAATGGACCAACAACCAGGAGATTAGAGCACGCATCGGAAAAGCTAGATCCACCTTCAATTGGATGGGGGCCGTCTTCAAGAGTCACAACCTCTCTCTTGATACAAAAGTAAAAATGCTGCGATGCTACGCCTTCTCTGTTCTTTTTTATAGTATTGAATCGTGGACCTTGAACGAAGATATGGTCAGAAAACTGGAAGTATTTGAGATGTGGCTATATCGGAGAATACTTAAGATTCTGTGGACTGACCGAGTCACAAATGAGGATATCCTCAGAGGAATAAATAAGAACCGAGAGGTACTGACCACCATCAAATCTCGAAAATTACAATTCTTCGGACATATTATGCGAAATGAATCCAGATATGCTCTCCTTCAAGCCATTCTGCAAGGAAAAATATTTTAAAAAGGAGGTCAAGACAGAAGAACATATTGGTTAAAGAACCTCAGAATCTGGTTCAATACATCTATGCAGCTTTTCCGAGCTACTGCAGATAAGATAAAGATTGCCCTGATAATTGCCAAAATTCATAACGGATAGGCACATCAAGAAGAATTCAATTTTTAGTTTCCCCATTTCTACATAACAGAACTACAGGACTTGAAGGTCGTTTCGATTAAGCTCTTTTCCTTAAATTCGACAGCCCATTTTTAATGTGACTTTATTTGTTGATATGTATGTTTCTATTTATATATTCTTGCCTTCAGTATTGGTATTAAAGCTTCTGTTGGTTTAATATGCTTAAAGATTCATGTTTTTATATCTCAGCACTTTCTTGGGTCAGCTTTTGAGTATATTAAGAAAATTCTATATAAAATATAATTATATTTTAGGTTAGACCCTTCGGGCAGAGCAAAAGGCGACTGTGAACTTCTCAGCGTACCTCTTTCCCGACTAGATGTATATAGAGACAGTTATCCAGATCCGGACTACGATTACTATGAAAGAGACAGGAACGCTGCTGCTGTGAATTGTAGACCGAGGCAACCAAGCCGGCCCTTTAATAACTACAATAACTATGAAGGCTACAGACATGATGTAAGAGATGGATATGACTATGGATCTAGAAACAGGTGGTCTGATAGAAGATACGATTATGGTGAGTTAAGTAATAGTTATATGTATAGAGCATATCCAGAAGAAAATATTATTAAAAATATTCGATTAGCTGACTGAAATGAAAGCACACGTACTCATACAAAACAAAATACATCTCGTCATTCTTCTTCTTCTTCTTGTGCCGTCTTCTAACGAAGGTTGGCGATCACTTCTTTAAACGCTTCTTGATCTTTTGCAACGTGAAATATCTGTTCAACATTGAGGTTAGTCCAATCTCTGATATTCCTCAGCCAAGATTTTTTCTTTCTTCCCAAGCCTTTTCTTCCCTCTACTCTACCTTGCATGATGACTTGTAGCAGAGAGTATTTATCGTTTCGGAGTATGTGGCCCAGATACGATCTCGTCATAATTATAGATCTCGTCATAATACTTGATAATTAACTTCAACAATTAAATTAAAACAACTTACTAAATCAAAAGATTCTTAATCAAAATATAATAAATTAAAAGCAAGTTGAATAATAATTAGTGATTTCCTTGGGCCTATCTTAAAGAACAAAGTTTTTCGAAAAAAGTCTTTTGGTTTGGCAATTTACCGTGCAGTCTATGAAGGCTTCTTCCTTGACAATTGAGAGCTTTTCAGAAATATTATTAAATGGATCCCGAATCCACTCGTGACTTGCTATCAGTTTGCTCGTAATAAGCGCCTAGTCGTTTTTATATCCGAACTTCTTTGATGTGGTTTCGGGCATGTCTGCTATATAAAGGCTAACGAGTAGGGGGTCCAGTACCGATCCTTGCGGAAGGCCATTGTTCAGTTTCATTTTGGTACTAGTCTTCTTGATGATTTTGAAACATCATATTTTGAATAGCATAGCATTAATGACATCAGTGATATTTCTGCATGGAATCGATCGCATAATTTAGATATTACCCTCTTTCTCCACACAGTATCGTACAATGCTGATAAATTAATTAAAAAAGTAGATATTTTTGGTTATTGTAGAAAGCCGTTTCTACATAGTTAGTTAGTGCTAGGACTTAATCTGTGCAGCAGCGGTTTGGTGTGAATCCTGCTTGTTCCACAGGTATATGTTAAAGTATTGTTTGGCTAATCTTATTATTATTATCATAAATTTGTATGCGTCCACTGCTGCACATAGGTCTCTCTCAGCTCTTTTCATCTGTCTCTATCTTGTGCGGCTTACATCCAGTTATTGCTAACACGCTTCAGGTCGTCAGTCCATCTAGTTGGTGAGCGTCCTTGGAGCAGATATTGCTTCTTGCCTTGGTCTCCACTCTTAAATACGTTTGTCCATCGGTTGTCTGATAATCTGGCGACGTGTCCTGCCCAGTTCCATTTTAACGACGCTATTTTTTCGATATCATCTGTTGTTTTTGTTCTACGATGGATTTCTTCGTTTGGGATTCGGTCTCTCAGAGAGACACCCAACATCTGGCGCTCTATAGCCATCTGAGTCACACGAATCTTATTAACTACCTTTTCTGTGAGTGTTAATGTTTCCGCTCCATAAGTTAGTACAGGTAACACACATTGGTCAAAGATTTTCCTTTTGAGGCATATGGGTAGATCCGATTTAAATACATAGTTTAATTTACCAAACGCTGCCCAGAATTTATATGCGACGGAAGCTCACATGTCTGGTTATCTCTTTCCAACCGGATTTCATGTCCTAGGTATTTATACGATGTAGACTTCACAATATCCCTTCCATCAACAGCAATATTTCGATTTAGCATCAGATTAGTCATTATTTGTGTCTTATTCATATTAACCTTCAGTCCGACCTCCAAGGAAGCGTGATATAATTTTTCATACATTATTGCATCATCCATATGATCGGCTATAAGAACGATGTGACCTGCAAATCTCAAATGACTGAGCTTCTCTCCATTTATGTTGATACCATGCTCGTTCAGGTGTGCCTTCTTACAAGTATGTTCTAAAAGCGTCGTAAATAGCTTTGGAGAGACTGTGTCTCCTTCCCGTACTCCTCGCTTTATACAGAATTTATTTTTTTCTTGTTCAGATAGTCTTACGCTATATGTGACATTTTGGTAAATACATTATTTTGATTATGTTAATGTAGCGACGGTCTACTCGGTATTCTGTTAATGCTTTTAACATTTTCTGATGGCTTATGGTATCGAATGCTTTCTCGTAGTCGACAAATATCAGTGTCAATGGTTTGTTATATTCTGCAGAGTTCTCTATCAGGTTCTTTATTACTACTAAGTTGCCGTTAGTGCTGTATCCCGATCTAAATCCAGCTTGTTCTCTAGGCTGTAGAAGTCTAATTTAGCGTCCAGTCTTTTTTTGATAATTTTTGTGGAAAGTTTATGTATGAGTGACAGCAAACTGATAGGACGGAAGCTTTTTTAATCTGTTATGTATTCTTGCTTGTGCATTAAAGTAATGCCTGCATTATTCCATTGAGAGGGAGTTTTTCCTTGGTAGATGCATTCAGTGAAAAGCTTGGCCAAAGCCTGGATAATTTTATTTCCACCTAGTTTTATCGCTTCGATCACTACTCTGAATTTGTTATTTTTAATTTCTAAAAGTGCCGTTTTGATTTTGTATGGAGTTATTTCTGGCATTAATTCTTTTTGGTTTGTGATTTTGGGCAGGGGATGATCTTGCCTTTCATCGGTGCTCTCATACATTTCGCGATCAAAGGATTCGATAACCTCAAGGATTTTGATTCTATCAATAGTAATGTTTCCGTATTTGTTTTTTATTTTGTACATTTTTGTTGCCTATGTTTTTCGTATTTCCCCTCAGAACTTTTAAATTTTTGTTTTCTTGAATTATTTTAGTTATTTCTCTTGTATTGTTTTCTCTTACGTCTTTTCGAAATGGCAGGTGGATATCTTTATTTAATTTCTTCATTGTTGTGTAGTTGGAGTCGTATTTTTTCGTCAGCTATCTTCTTTTACCTATTAGGTCTTTGATATTTTAGCTTGGTTTTTTATGGGTCAGAACGGTCGGACGCAGCAATCCCTTTCCATTTCTTTTAGAGCCTTCATTATGCCATCATTTGCTTGATCTACATCTTCTATTTCGCCTTGCAAGTATTGTACATGTCTGGTTAGTGTATCTTCATACAGGTCATTGTTTTCTGGGGAAATTTATTTTTGTTTTGTTTTTAGGATCATCTTTGTTCTTTGCAATTTTACATTTAATAGTATCTTAGCTCAGATTAATCTGTGGTCGCTTCCTATTTAAAATTTGTTGAGTACTTCGTTGTCTTTTATTATTTCTGTTCTGTTTATTATGATATAATCTATTTCATTTTTGACACTGCCATCTGGGCTGATTCATGTCGATTTACACTGAGGCTTTTTATCGAAAAAAGAGTTCATCATGACTAAATTTTCCTGGTGTAAGAAGTTCAGCAATCTTTGCTCTCGTACATTTCTTTCACCATTGCTACTTCTGACTCATCTTGTTTAAATCCCATTTTCGCATTAAAGTTGCCCATAATTATTGAGTCGCCCATAATCGCCCTTAATTTTATTATATGGTATTCTTTTAAAAATTTGTAGATCATACTTAGAAGTGCAATTAGACGGATTTTTTCGTGGTTTTAAAATGGCGATGATTTTTGCTCCTTTTAGTTGAAGGGGAATATTTTCCATCTGAAGAATATTTGAGAACTTTACAACTTTCGTAAATTTGCTACTGTGCTGTAGAAACTTAGCATGAATGCCATCAAAACCGTAGACTTTTCCGTTTCCATTTCATTAAGAGCTTTCGAGATTTTTGCACACGTGAAAGGGTCGGAATTATCTGTTTCAAGTAGACAAAAGGATTTTAAAGTATTGAGGTCTCTTTTAACTTCAATTTTGTGTAAGCGGTTGTGTAGTGCTCTTAAGGTAGACATTATGTGTGTCGTCATTTGTTTAGGTGTTACTAGATTGATTGGGCGTGATGAGATCTACTTTTCAAAAAATTTACTAGTGTTCGTCGAAATGCAAATAATCGAATACAGATAGGATTCAGTCACCTATCGCATACACTATATACACAAGTTTCATTCCCATTTAAGTAGAATATCCTTTAACATATATTGATGATAATATCGAAGCGAAATTAGAGAAAAAGCGTTCAAGTAAACAAGCTAATTTGTTTAGGATGTAAAACTATTTTATTGGATCCTGAACGTATTGAAAGTAGGGCTTTACTAAATACTTAACAGATCCTAAATATCTACTAAATATTTCATCATCATCATTCTGCACGGGTCCTAGCCCCCTCAAGATTTTTTCTTTAGTCGTCCCTATCCATCGGTTTCCTCCGCCAAGCACGTATTCCCATATTTCTCATGTCTTCATCGATGTTATCAAGAAACCATGCCCTATCCACTTCAGACGTCGTATCTTAATATGTTTTACGATATCTGGTTTCTGGTATGTTCTATAAAGTTCGAAGTTGTATCGTTTTCTTCATACTCCATTGTCATTCACTGCTCCATAGATTCGCCTTAGTACTTTTCTTTCGAAACATCCCTTTTCATTACTTTTTGTTAGATTCCAGATCTCTGACCCATATGGGGTATTAAAACAATAATACTGTTATTAATGCTGTTAAAATTATTGTTTTGTAGAGTTTTATTTTTGTATTTCTCGATATAATTGTGCATTTAAGGAGGAGATTGAGTCCAAAGTAGCATCTGTTGGCCGTTCAAATTCTGCGGTTTATCTCTGCGGTAGTATTATTTTCAGTGTAAAGGAGCGCCCCTAGGTATACAAATTCGTTCACTGCTTCGATGACGTCGTTTGCTATAATAAGTGGTCGTTGGATTTGTGGTTACATGATTATTTTCATGTATTTCGTTTTGTTGGAAATTATTATTAAACCCATTTTTGTAGCTGATTATTTTAATGCTACTTACGTCTCTCGTTACCGTTTTCCGTTCTCCCAATAATATCGACATAATCAGCATAGGCACGGATTTATTATATATTGAACCAATGGCTATGATTTGTGACATACATATTACTTTTCCAGAGCCAGATTGAACAGTGCACAGGAGAGAGGGTCTCCCTGCCGCAGCCCGTTATCTGTTTTATTTATTTTGGGACTTGGTATTCCTAACTTTTTCATTGCTTTGAACATTTCTCTTCTATTCACAGAGCCGTAGGCTGCATCGCTATCTGCATTTAGAAACGTAATTCCTCTGTGGTTAGCGCATTCAAAGATGTCTCCTTTTTTGTGTATGGTGCAAAGTATTCCAATATTCCAATCATTGGGGAGGGATTTACGTGACCATATTTCTTTTATAAGCTGCTGTAATGAGATTATAGTATCATGGCCATCTTCTTTATATAATTCAGCTGGGAGATCATCTATTTCGGGTAATTTGTTTCTAGCTACTTTTTTAACTGCATCTTTAACTTCAAGAATCGTTGGTGGTTCCTCTTCCTTCTTGTCTGTTCCCGTTACCCTACTAAGTATATATTTTACAATTTTAATATTATTTTCTTTTTGTTTAATAGCTCCCAGACCCGTTGTTAGTTACCACGGTTCTGTCGATTACAGAGGAGCAGATCGATGGAGGAACGACGAATATTATCGAAAACCAATTCGTCCTGAAATCGATAGAAGATATGACTACGGACCAGACAATAGGCGAAGAGGAGGTAAATATCTCTCTGATAGTATAATTTGGGATGTTTTATGTCTCAAAGCTCCAACATAAGAGACATTATTGTGGTATTGAATAAGTATTTTGTAGTAGAAATATAGTATTTTAACGAACTTACTCAGTTGCAATGTGAAGTGTAAAACGAATTTTTGAATTAAATAATTTACAAATAATTATTTCTCGATTTATCCTACTTCCTATAAAAATCATCCCTTACATATATTTTGCTTAGCAACGCATCATATTTATCTGATGTCTCATAGCGGGTCGTATGGAATATGTGGCGCTGATGAACCTGACCAAATAATAATGCATTATTTGGAAAGGTTTTGGGTTTACAGACCGTGACCTATAATTATTTCTTCGTAACGTTTTGGCTGCAAATATATCAGACACTATCAAACATGATGTGACAAAAGTCCTTGTGTACTTCAGATAATTGATAACTTTTATAAGACAGCGACAAGTTACAAGTGAGTTTTTGAAGCAGTTTTCATTTTTCATTCATGTGTAACCCTAGGACAATTAGATCTTCGTATCGTCAAGACTATCCATTTTCTGTCACAATCAGTACACTGATCTTTACATTCCACTGTTGGGTGGGATGTACAGATTATTTGAAATTATATGTTTTTGATTTGATGGATCCAGAAGCCTGAGTATATTATATCTACTAATAAATTTTGTATAGGAATATACCAAATAAAAAAATCATTCCCATATCTTCACAAATATCAGGTAATAAAGATAAAGTACAGTTGATTTAAATTTATATGTATAGGTAATATTATAATATATAAAAAGGTATAAAATGAGGGGGCTGAGAAGTCTACAGGTATAAGTGACATATTTATATTGAGTTCTTTTGAATTCCTTTAATTACTTAATTTATTTTTAATAAAATAACATTAAACTATGTAAAACTGGGAGTTTTAGTAATTAAATATACCAATAGAAGTTTAAAGATCGGGTTGATGATGATGATATAACGACAGAAGTTTAAAAAACATTATAAAAAGGCAATCATTGGTATATGTACCAATAAAATCTATCAGTTTATTCTAAACATTTGAAAAAGTAAAAAAATATACACTAAATTAAATGACATGTAACATCTGCTTCGAATTAGGTTGGCTATTTAATTACACCTTTCTCCAGATCTTCCTATTCTTCCTGAAGAAACCGTGGCAATTTCTTGTTTGTTTCTGGGCCATTTTTATTTTTATAATTTTTTTCCATTAAGATATTTTCCCACTTCGTTTCAAATATACTTCATTTTACGTAATAGCCATATTAGTCTAGTCGTCAGAAATTTTATCTCTAAAGACGAACAAGCTGGATTTTGCTGAGAATGTAAATTTTGGAACCCTAAAAAGTCAAAAAGTAAAAAAATTGCACCCAGCTTCCCTCTAACCGCCCCACCCCCCATAGAAAAAATGTTTCAAATAAGAAATCGAAGCTAAAATAATTTTAACCAAAAATGAACCGTTCTCTCAGAAACAACGCTTGATACCACCGGTGATTTTTAATGTCAAATTTAAATTTTTTAAATTAAATTAAAAAATTAAAATTAAAAAATTTGTAATCAAAATGCGTTTTGTATTTTGTATTTATAATCAAAATGAAGTGTAGGTTTCATATGAAATTTTTGTATTTTACCGCAAATTATGTCAATTTATACAAAGCTGTTAAATAAATAAACGTTGCGCGGTTTTTGCCATATTTTACGATTTCTTAAAGATCAATAAAATTTATCACTTCCATTGACAGTCGCTGTGGAGTTTACATTGTTAGAGCCTAATCTTCAATTTCTATAACTTTAAATTTCGATTTTGAGTTTTGGCAAAAAATATCAGGCATTTGAAATATACCTAAAAATCGCTGAATTTAAACTTTCACAATACAAACGATCTCATGTCACGGGAATTTTAAAAGTTTTATATGTTTGTAATGTAAGAGTTTAAATTCAGCGTTTTTTAGGCACATTTTAAATATCTCATATTTGTTGCGAAAGCTCTAAATCGAAATTTCTTTAAATCGCGCAACGTTTATTTATTTAACAGTTTTATAGAATCTGACTTTATTTGCGGCAAAATACAAACGTTTCATACGAAAGCTGAACTCTTCGTCTTTAAAATTGTTGCATTTCGATTTACATCGTATATGTTAAAACACCGAAAAATATTCTCAATCTTTCTGCGTCGCTGAGATTGCTAATATGAACATTTTTAGACTGTCTATAATAATTTTAATTGCTATTCGTTTGATCTTGATTCTGTCTAGAGACTTTGCGCATCAAATAAACAGAAATCTTTCAGTTTATGTTTTGTTTAGGCCGAGTTGGAAGGATGAGATCACCATACGATGGACCACCAAAGCACTTAGTTTCATTGTTTAGTCCTAATTTTTTTTTAAAGTAGCTATTGTTTTTTCGTTATTGGTTTTTTTTTTGTCATTTGTCATCGGAAAATTTACAAGAGTGTAAAGTGTAGTAGCAGTTAGAAGAAGCAGTTTTGATTCGGAAGAGATAATCCCTCGGCATGTAGTTTTTCAAAACCGGCAATTTTTTGCTTGATTTCATGAGTTAAGAGCTGAATTTAAACTCAAAATGCTATTTGGCAGTCTTTGTTCAGTGAGTTAGTTAATGTAAGATTTTTTGTGATGTATCCCATGCGTGAAACTTGAAAACAGGGTTTCCAACATTTTAAGAAGTCCACATGGTTTTAAGTAGGAATTAAGCAGCAGCGTTTTGAAGAACGTGCCTGCTATTTTATTATCATCCAGGATAATCCAAAGCCGAATTCAATATTTGACTTTCCCAAGATTTGTCCATTTTGTGTTTCCATGGGTCACCCCAGACCATTTGCAGTTTGTGTGGGCTAGTGTGTTTGATTTGTATTCAATCCCAAAAACTTTCTTAATGTAAATACATAGCCAGTGATACAAGGAAACAAACGCCTCTCTTTCTACTTTCTTCTACTCTCTTCACACTCAATGTGGTACGCAAAATTAATTCATTACAAAATGCATTTTGATATTTGTTGATAGGACAATCGAATTTTTACCGTCGAGATAATACAAATTTTATTTAAATTTGATTTTGCTTTCGTAACTAACATTCAAAAGAGAGAAAGTTCATTCTACACAAAAAATGTTTATTAAATTTATCTCAGTTAAATTTCTTGTTTGAAACATTTTTTTCTAAGGCGTACAAATTCTTGGTAAATCGACCTCACCCCCTTCCTACTAGGGGGTTTTAGGGATAGCCCAGGAGTAGTAGTGGCAAACTTTTTTGTATCTTTTTTGGATAAAAGAATTGACATTCTCAGCAAAATTCAGCTAGTTCATATAATTTTTAGAGGTTCAGTAGTTTTCGTCTCTAGCGACTGAAGCATATGGTTAAATCTAGCTGAAATAATCGATAAGGTAATTGTTATTCTTACTTTTTATAATTACTAAATACAGGGTGACCCATTTAAATTAAAAACAACTGGCGAATTATTATTAAAATTATTTAATAAATAACAATCTTCATGGTTATCTGTTAACACATGATGTTCTTTGATGACTCGTAGCTGAGTTTTAAAATTTTTAAATTGTCATAACTTTAGTATTAATGAATATATTTTAATTGTTAATAAAATTTTTGTCGTAGCTCTTTAGCTTTTTTTTAGCTGCACTAAATCCAGTGGTGTGGGAATTTTTTCAATGATCAATAACTAACTAATCAAAATTTTCTATATAAATTCTCCATTTTGATTGAGGAAAAGTATCGTAGTGGGCCCAGGAAATTTGAATAAACATTTTAAATTATGTCCCGAAACAAACCTTTTTACTACACGATATCAACAAAAAATTTAAAAGTTAAAAAAGGTGTTTCCAATCTAACCTGATCACACTGTATATGCGAGCTTCTAAAGGTATGCATGATCGCATCAGAATACAACTGCATATAATGTTTTTTAAGCGAAATAGCACTGTTCATGACCTTCATAGATTATCTTCAAATCATTTCTCGCCCATCTATTAGCTTATTAAATTGAATATATCTGAAAAAAGACCTTTCGCTTTCCCAAAAACGATATTGTTTCGTATTCAATATATTTTTGATCCTCATTGCAACTTTCGTAGATGCTGTATCAGCAGCTTTCAGTCAACTTACAATTTTCTGACTTCTTTAATATTTGTGTTGTATATGTGGCTAATCACATTAACTATTGTACCTAAATATTTAAATTCATTTACCTGATTAAACCATTTATACTTATCAATAGTTACGTCAAATCTTCTTCTATTTCTTCATTATCCCAGCTCTTGTAATGTTGATTATGTATATATCGGTGTCATTGTACAGATTATTGAAGTGTTCTGTCCAGGTTTGACCTTCATATATCTCATGCTCCATTTCTACTGAAAATCTTTCCTGGTATGTTTAATTCGGTTTCTTTATCTCACAGTTCACTCTGTTTATAACCTCTTTGTAAATTTCGTATGTCTCCGAGTTTTTGTTGCTCATGTTTATTATGTAGGCATCTGGTTTTCCTTAGCTGCTATCTTGACTTCATGTGTAAACCAGAGTTTATTGTTTGTTGGTCTGTTTGTGTTGATTGTTTTTTGTCCTATTGCTTCTGCGGTACTAGTTATAATATTAGCTTATATTTTTGACCAGGAATCCTTAACGCTGGTTATGCAGCTCCGAGATATATTTTCTTCCATTAGTCTTTGGTAGAGAAAATTAGTGCTCTCTAAAATGTAGGCACTCTATACTAAATTTTGTTATATCGTTAGGTTCCCTTCTTCCCGTTAATTTATATGCGATAATGCAAGATTTGAATAAGACCAAACTATGTTGTGTGATATCATTTGCTAACATTTGTGTTCTTATGTCAAATATGTAGCTAACATGGTATTTTCTGATTGTGATTACAAAGTCGATCATTGACTTGCCTCTGTTTTTGTTAAATGTATATTTATGTTGTGGCTTGTGGTCTAAGTATGTATTGTTTATACGTAATTCATTATGGGCGCACACGTTTGTCAGTTTTTCTCCATTTCTATTTGTTGTTCATTGAATCTCTGCGTAATTCCTGGTATGATTGTATTTACAATTTTTTAATTAAAATCACTCAATACGAATGCATTGTTTCGATTATTAATATTGCCTAGTATGTTCTGTAGTTTGTCACAGAATCGGTCCTTTCTTCCATTGCCTTGCTCATAGCAGGTGTATAAATACTTATGAAACGGATCTTTACATGAACAAAATATAGTGTAATCTGTGTTAAATTCTGGTTTACATATGTAACTCCTTGAATGCTGATTTCAAATTTCTTGTGTAGTATTGATACTTCTGCCTGAGCTCGAGCATCTTTCTCAACTCCACAGCAGAATAGTATATGATTGTATTATCTTATATTGCTTTTACCTTTCTTATTAGTTTCTGATATAGTGCATATATCTTTTTTACGTTGTTTTACTTCTTGAATAATTTCTTGATCTTTTGTATTCCAGGATGTGACGTTTTTACTTCTGAGTCTTCGTATATTTTTTTTCCGTTTTTGTGACATTTTGTCATCTGTGATTCGTCCCTTCCGAGAGCTCCGAGGCTCTTCTGGTAGTTCTTTGAGTAAAGTCTTTCTTCGCCACAGGTAAGTGACTAGCCTCACCTATGAAACCTCCTCTATCCGGGCTTAAGACCGGTACTAATAGCAATGCAATATGAAATCTGGTATCGCTATTTGTCATTACCTGAGTAACTAATCTATGTTTACTAATAAATACATCAAATCTGGTGAAGCTGTATATCACCAAGTATTTTTTACTTTTACTGGTAATCTACACTTCTAATATGTCATGGAGCCTTCTAATCATCACTTTTGGATGGGAAAGTTCTTGTGTCACCCACAACATGGTCATCCACAAAATTGTAATTAAATAGTTATGTGGTGGTATCAAAATTCTTCAGTTTCTACTTCTCCAATTGTTTAAAATAGCCTTAACATTAAAGGCGAGCGTCACGGAACTAACGCCACAAGGCATCACGGGTAGCGTTACGAAATACGGTATGCTTACGTTACGGTATGCTTCTTCACACCGATTCACTACTCTCGATCAATTCGTTTCTAGTCATCATATATTTATTCTAAGTAAATGAGAAGTAAAAAACTAAAAAAGTATTTGTCAATAAACACTTCGATTCGTAACGATTGTCAAAATTTAAAAGTCATAAATGTCATCCAATTAATAACAATGTTGAAACATCTGTTTACTTCTCGTTTTAGAATAATTTCATATAAATACAATAATTATTTTTAAACATCTTATTTACTTTATATAATAATAATTAAATTTACTATTAAATGATATTTATTTATATTCTATTAATACTATTTGATCGGAATTTGACAGGCCTGTCACAAGTAAACAACGTATGCTTTGTTAATACGTTAGCAGGTGCCGTTAGGAGCAAACATAATAATTTATTGAATTATTATAAGATAATATAATTTATTTAAAATATAATTAATAAATAAATAATAAAGTTACTTTATTCAATTTTAAAAATATTATTTAAATTTTAAAAACACAGAAAACATATGTGAAGCTTCGCGCAATTCTACTCTACCATCTTTTTTATTACCCATTTCATTATTTATTTTGTTATACGAAATTTTACCCTATAATCGCCTTAGACTAGAACTCCTGGTTTTAGAGTATGTAATTTCTAAAGGATTTGTGGATATTTGACTTTGATTATATTTAGTAGGTTGAGAGAACTCAGTACATGACATTGTATTTATTTGCTTTCCCCTATCAAAACATGAATTAATTAAATGTGTCACTTATACCTATTAACTTCTCAGCCCTCATACGTACTAAATTTTTTTTCGTTTTAGATCACTCTTACCTTCCACGTCCAAATCAGGATGACAGAAATAACAATAGAAGGTATTTTAACGAACATATTTTACCACCAAAACCGCCTCCGTATGGTCAAAAAGTATACGACAGACCGACTTACTACACGTATGAAAAAAAGTTCCCCTGGGGTTTTAATCATCATCGATACGGTGAGGGTTACGACTATCCAGTGCCCAAGAAGAACTTTTATCTTCCTCCTTCAAGAACGGATGATTCAATTAACGATTTGGACTGGGGTCTGTATCATAAATTTCAAAATAATTTCAGCCATTGGGGTCTCGATAAATATGGAGGTACTTATGGTTTACCTCATAATGGTTATTTGCCTCCAGAACCTGAGCTGATTCCACCTGCTGTTGGAAATTATTTGCCAGCAGCCAAACCAGTTGATAATACTGGTATATTCAGAGTTCCTGATAGTGCTTTGCTCCCTGTTGAACATAGGCGACCGATATATAATTATGTTCAAGAAGGTAAACAGTTAAAAATTTCTATTTAATATTACTAATATAAAGCAAGCAAAAGTCATCGTCATTAGGATTTGTTTTCAAGCGAATTTCGTATAACCATTGTTACATGTTGCACCAAAGAACAGAGAATAATCCTTTTAATAATAGCACATTTTCACTAATAGAAAAAAGAAAAAAATACTAAAAGATATAGAAAAAAGGTTAAAGGGTGAATCTCTTTCCCTTAAGCTAGTATGAAGTGGTAGAAGATAAAGATCACCATATTTATGTTCATTCAGATTGACATTGTATTTTATTTGTAGACTGCTCTCTCAGGAGTGTAACTGGATTTAAGCTACACAAAAGAATTGTTAAGAAATATTTTGCAGTTCCCAACATTTACGAATGTGAGCTTTTATGTTTTAAGGAAAGAACTTTTGTATGTGAATCATACGCATATCGGTAAGACTCCAAATTTAATGTTAAAAAGTGTTACATGAATTACTGTTTTGTTTTCAGTTATACTATAACTGTATCAGAACCCACAGATAATTGTTATCTAAGTAACTTAAACTATAAAGAGCTAGACCATTACACGGATTTAGAACCGGATAGAGATTTTGATATCTACACCATGAATAATAAAAACAGATGTAATCAACCGGCTATAGAAAGGAGAGATGACAGTGGTAAGTTTAGATTATCTTTAATTTTTGGTACTTTGAAATAAATGGGATATTTTTACCATTATTCTGGCTGCCTTTCATAAATATTGGAAAAAATAAATGATTTTATTTCTCCTTGTACCTCTCATCGGTTCAACTGATAATTTGTTCATGTTTAAGTCACTGTTTTACCATAATCGTCAATGTCTTTGTTCCTTTTCCCCATATCGTTTTGGTTCCTAGCTTTTATCATATACCTACCTACCTTAATTTTCAATTTAATCAACATGAATGGAGATATATCTAAGACCCTTGAGGTTCGACAGGGATCCATTTGGGAAATCAACAGCAAAGGAATGGGACCATTGGAAGAGAACTTTTATGAACTTTTTAGTTTCCCGTATTGTCACTCCCACTGTTTCTGCTGATGCTGCTGCTGTACCAACCCTAGATATTAATTATACTAAGCTACAACTGTTAATAAATTATATTTTGCCACGAGTATATACATATATAAGCGATTGTAACACTCATAACGAATCCAATCAAACTCTTGACAAAATATACATTAATCCAAACAATACTATTCATGCTCGTCACATACTAACTACTAGACGAAAACAGACAGATGAGTCTATTATTTCTTACATACAATCATTAAAACAGTTAGCAAAAGACTGCTGATACTAATAAAAATGATACGATCTTTGGAGATTTTATCGCTGGAATGATATCCACAAAGATACGAGCTAAATTGTTAGAGAGTTTAACACTAACTTTAGAAGAAACTTACAATACATATTGTTATTTCAATGGAAATGGCAGAACTCCACTCTCAGATTTATTCAAATCAATATTCAACACTTAGTGCGCTGGTAACTATGGTAACTATCAATTTGAGTGATAGAGTTCTCCAACAAACTCTGAATGTGTCACTGTGACCATTGCTACCAACTCTACTAACTCTTCTAGGTCAGGACACAATTTTTTTTTCTGTAGTGAGACAATACATTCAAGGAAGAACTGTCCTGCTCGGGAATCCATCTGCAAATCCTGTAATAAAAAGGGACACTTTGCAAAGGTTTGCCGCTCCAAGAGCACTAGTGCATCTACCAATGTACTTGAAAGCTATGATAACTGCACAGCCTGCATTATTGCTGCTACTCCTGCTTCACTGGAGAAAGCTATAGTGCCTGCATCTATAAAAGGTCTTCGTGCTGATGCCCTTGTAGATATTGGTAGCTCTGCCAGTTTTATTAATGAAGACTTTGCTAACCTCTGAACTCCCTAGGAAGACTTGTACTTAAACTGTTTCTATGGTCTCATTATCACACACCCCTAAAGTTAAAGATGTGACTACTCAAAATATTAAAATTGGTGACCACTCGTACGACAATAATAATTTACTTATAGTTAAAAATCTCTGTGCTGATATTATAATTGGTCATGATGATATATCTAACCACTCATGTCTAGAGTTTGAATTTGGAGGACCTTAAGAAGTATTCAAGGTATGTAGTGTAGTTAATGCCTCAGTACCTGCAGTTCCTTCATTTTGTAATTTTGTAACCTGACTTCAAGTTGAAAACATATCGCAGTAAAATCGCGCAGGCATAGTGCTGAAGATCAGATTTTTATTAAAAATAAGGTGAAGAAGCTTTTAAATGATGGCATTATTGAAGAAAGTCAGTCCCTTTGGAGAGCGTAAGTGCTTATCACCAAAAACGAAACTTACAAGAAGCGGCTAGCCTATCCACTGCCACTGTCTTTAGTGCAATAGATTTCCAAAGCGCATACCATCCGGTTCCAATACTTCCACATGAAAAGATGTACACAGCTTTTGAAGCCGCTGTGAAACTATACCATATTTGTCGCATTCCGTTTGGTGTTACCAATGGTAGTAGCCAGTTTCCAAAGAACAATCGACTGACTCATACGCACAGAAAACCTTATATTTTAGGTTTTGCTTTATCATTTTAGTACTAGTATGATCTATTTTATAAGTTTTTTAATTTTCCAATCACTTTGGTTTTAATAACCAATTTTGGTCTTATCCAAAGTTATCTGCTAGTATTTTGTCTTCGGTACAGGTATAAGTATAAGTAATTTTTCTTGTACTATGTTCCAGTTCCATTTATACTTCCCTCATTATAATACAGTATGATGCAAATCTATGAAATAAATTTATTATTTTGGAAACAGACGACTTTTACAAAATCTTAAAACCGTCAATTTTTTTTACAGAATGGCCATCAAATGCTATATATGGATTGGACATTACGTCATCAATGTTCAAGTAATGACGTAATTGACGTTTTTTTATTCAAACCAAGATCATGGGATACCTTGATTTGAAAAGTCTCCTAATTTAATTTAATTTATTTAATTATTTAAATATTTATTCAGAGTTAAACTACATAGTTAACCAAAACTTTTGGTTTATTAATACAATTAATTTATAATAATTGTTTAGTAAAATACAATTAAATTATAAGAAATCTTGAAATTGACGACCTTCAGCAATGATACAATAAGAAAAAGGGTAGTAAATTCTTCTCTAACGTTTTCGATGACTTCAGGGGTTATTTTGCAACTTCCGTTCCGATGCGTTCTTCAACTCTTCTACATTATTCGATCGACTTTGATACACTTTTTTTCAAGTATCCCCATAAAAATGTCTAACGGAATCAAATCTGGAGGCCTTGGTGGCCATTCGATAGATTCCCTTCTACCTATCTACCTACCTGGGAAAAGTTATGTTAAGTAATCTCATGCCTCAATGCCGTAGCGTAGGGGAGCCCCATCCTGTTCCCCACAAATTATTTCTATTTGGAAATAACTAATTCAGCTACGACATTGGATAATCCTGAAGAAATGCCAGATAACGAAGAGCAGTTCAGTTTTTGCCAAAAAAATATTACCCTGTAATATGATTGTTTATAATGCCGGTCCAAACATTCCCAGAATATTGTTCTTGTTCTTACTTGAACAGTATTGATGTCTGGCGGTTTACGTGACTGTTAAGCATAAAAGCCGCTTCATCTGAAAAAAGTAACTTTTCTATGAAACTCTGATTCCTGTTACGTCGTTTAATAACGGTTTCGCAGAATTATATTCTTCTATCAAAGTCATCTTCTAGCAGCTCCTGAATCAGATGTACATTGTACGAATGCCACTTCTTCTTTTTTTACCACTCTAACAACAGTTTATTGGGGGACATTATTATCTAGTGTGACCTGCCTTGACCTGGTATTGGGATTTTCTTGACACCCCAGTATAACGTTCAGTGTCTTGGCTGGGGGTATGGATTTTATACGGCTTCTGGGAAGATCTCTAACATGGACTCTTTATTAAATTTTTCTTCAATTTTGTTAATTGTTAATTGAGATTTCGCGATTGGGTTATTTAGCATTAAATAAATTACGAACTTCTGACTGAGTCCTCACTTTATTTCCACAAGCAATCATGATTAAAATCTCGATTAGTTCTGTTTCTGTATCTGTTTCTCTACGCAATTAAAAAATATCTCGGCAAAAACTTAAACAGTAAAAATGTTACGTCTATTAGTTGACCCATTTATAGATCATTGACAATAACGACCAGTCAATGGCAATATTGATTTACATATTTTTGTGAAAACTTTGAATATTTGACTGATACTCCAATAATTAATTTCAGATTAGAAGCAGAATTTCATAATTAATTTCAGAATGTAGCAATGGTATCAATCAATGTATTTCTTTTTTTAAAACCAGCAAAAGACACAACTTTATTTTATTCGCAGTGGAGGTCCTTAGAATAATTTAGTTTAGTGAATGAGCACCTATTTACTATAATTCCATTTTACTTCATTAAGTACATAAGTTTTTTTAACCCCGTAGAAATAAATATTTGAATGATACATCGTTGCAAAGACGATTAGGAGACCTTTTAAATGAGGAGTCCCGTGACTTCGACTTCTATCATCAATTACTTTCTTGCGCCAACATTGATAACTAATGCCCAACAAATAATATATAGTAATTGATGGCCATTAAAAAATTAAAATTTACGTGTTATAAATTCTTTTAAAAGTCGTCCGATTCTGAAATAATAAATTGATTCCATAGATTTGCATGATTACTGTATATTTCAAAAATAAATTTCATTAAAAATCTAATAATTTTTTAGATTGCTTTTGGAGAGTCAGGAGTGGTGAACGGTTACATCAAAAAATTGTTAGAGACTCATTGAAGGTAAATTCTATTGTAGATTGTCAAGTGGAATGTTTGACATCTACTAAATTTACTTGCCGAGCATATAGCTATAGGTAAGTGCTTATTGTAAAAAAAATAAAAAATTTTTAAGCAGGTGTCACATTTTCGGTAAGTGGAATGTATTGGCCAAACAGCCAATACACAGCCAGAAAATTACAGAGGTATAAACTTGCTAAATACCCGCTAAAACTTACAACTAAAATTTTACAAGTGCTAATAAATCAGAGGATAAGTTTAGCAGATGAACAACAGAGTTTTCGTAGTGGAAAATCGTATACAGATGCAATATGCGTTGTAAAGCAAATTACTGAGAAATCACTAGAGTATAATAGAGCCGCATTTTGTGTCTGATTGATCTAAAGAAAGCGTCTGAAAGAGTAAGACTCAAAGTCTCCCCTAAATATTATAAAAACTATCGAAAAATCTACCAAAACAACAAAATGGAAGTCAGAATAGATGGACAACTTACAGAACCTATAAAAACAGGTAGCAGAATAAGACAAGGGGATTCATTAAGCCCCATGCTCTTCAACTAAATTATGGATGAAATCATCAAAAGCGTTAACAAAGAAAGAAGATACAGAATGGGAAACAAAGAAATAAAAATACTCTATTACCCAGCCGACTCAACGTTGATAGCCCAAGAAGAAAATAGTTTGCAAAGACTGGTCCACAGATTTAAAATAAGAGCAAAACAATTTAATATGATAATCTCATCAAAAAACTAGAACAATAGTAGCTAGCAAAGAACCAACCAGATGTAAAATAAAAATTGATGGCATCAGTATTGAACAAGTAATGAAAATAAAATACCTGGGAATTACACTGTCTAGCTATGGAGACCTGAACAAAGATGTGTGAGATCAAGTACAAAAAGCAAATAGACTTTCAAGATGCAGCCACAACGTAAAGGCTACTGAAAACGGCAGAGATGAGAGTACTGAGAAGATTATTAATGGAAATACTCTGAGAGATCGAAAGGGAAGTGAAGACATTAGAAGAAAATGTAACGTTCAGTGTATAAATGAGTGGACACAAAATAGAAAAAAAAATAGAATAACCACAAGCAGAATGGAGGAGACCTGTGTCGTCAGAATAGCATGAGATAAGAAGTATCGGACAACCGCGCAAAATATGGAGTGAGAACCTTCCATAGAGGTATTAATCCGCCAATAAACAATCAGAATTGCTTATAAAGAGGAAGAGGCAAAAAAAGAAGGAATGGATTGGAATGGAATATAATGGAAAATCTCTGCACATTAGCACGAACTTCTGCGAAGTATTGTACTAATATATATGTCATTTATTACTAGAATTAGAATTACATCTCTGACAACTAGCGTTAACAAAAGCACGTGTATGAGAGCAATTCTGTTTCGCGATAATATGCAGTATGCTTTATTCTTCAACCTTTCAAACGGGTTGGACGACTTAAATCGACTCGAGATACATACCACAGTGGGCTGACCGATAAATTCCATTTTTTTTTTTTTCATAGCATCTATATTACGCAACTTATAAAGTTAGGCTTTTCACTAATAGATAGCTCTGAAAAGTACAATAATTTAACACATACATAATACAGAAAAAAAATTCTCCCTTCCTCACGATACATCTCTGTAAATATATCTGCCCACCTAACATGACTGAGGACTATTGAGGATTTCAGTTAAATGAGAATAGGAAGAATTAAAGCTATAACAAGAAAGTTACTTTCCCACTACAGAATAAAAGTTTATCAAATTAAACGAAGAAAAAGTTGTTCAAACCGTTGGAGCACTGTATAGGGAGAAGAGGGAACATTATCAGAAGAACCTCATATCAATTATTATCAGAAGAGAACAAAAGAAAAATTATTACGGTTAAAACAAAGTTTGATAGAAAATATTGTTAAGTTACATTATTAGACCGTATAAGAAATGAAGAAATGGGAAATAAAATGGGTATAGAAACGATGTTAGTAGACAGGATAGAAGCGAAACAACTGTCTCGGTACGGTCACATGAGGAACTTGTCGCACGAAAAATTACCGAAATAAATTTAAAATTGAGTCCCACAAAGAAGAAGAAGGAGAGGCCATCCAGCAAAAAGATGAAAAGAAGATATCAAAGAGGCGATGAGAAGAAGAAATTTGGATAAAGACTCCTGCAATGATGATAAAGAATCGCTAGAATATAATATTTTAAATAAACATATAGTTTGTGTATACCTACTACAAATAGCTGCATGATGTAAAGTCCAGAAAGTGAGCTAGAAATGAAAAATCGGTGATATGTGAAATCTGACTGTTTTAAAAACTTCTTCAAGTTCCACTCCTATCGGAGATTGGAAATCATTCTGGCAATTATAATTTTCTTGGTTACGCGCCTGAATAGTTCAATTGAACTGCATCCTAACCATTCACGGAGATTGCGTAGCCACGAGATTTTACGTCTTCCTTCGCTTCTTCTGCTTTTGATTTTACCCTGCATTATATTAGTAGTAGTTCTTAGTAGTTCGTATTTTTCACCTCTCATGATGTGCCCCAAGTATTCCAATTTCCTGATTTTTATGGAATTGTTTTCCTAGTTGTTCGAGAACTTGTTCGTTTGTTTTGCGATCCATCCATGATATTTTCAAAATACGGCGGTAACACCACATTTCGAATGCTTCTAGGTGTTTAATGTTGGATTTTTTAAGTGTCCAAGCTTCAACCCCATACAAAAGGGTAGAGAAAATATTACATCGAAGCATTCTTATCCGGAGCGATATATTGATATCGCGATTACAAGTTTTCTCATTCTATTAAAAGTTGACCGTGCAATTTCAATGCGGCATCTTATTTCTTTTGTCTGATTAGTATCTTCTGTGATCTATGCTCCAAGGTATTTGTACGAAGATATTTGCTCAATTTCTGTATTATCTAGTACTAGCTTAACTTTGATGTTTTGTACTTTTGTAAATACCATGAACTTGGTTTTCTTCAAAATTTATTTTTAGTCCATAATCGTTGCAATATATATTTAGTTGTTGTTCAGCAAGGTGTTGCAGTTCTTCTAGTGTTCCTGCCAGAAGGACGGTGTCGTGAGCATATCTTATGTTATTAAGTGGCTCACCGGTTATTATAAGGCCCTCACTGATCTCGGCAAGAGCTAATTCTGAGATGGCTTCACTATATAAATTGAATAACAAGGGTGATAAAATACACCCTTGACGGACCCCACGGCGAATCTGGATATCCTCGGTTAGTTCATTTTCAATTTTCACTTTTGCTGTTTAGTTCCAATAGAGGTTACATATGATTCTAATGTCTCTACTATCTATGTTTTTATTTGAGAAAATTTCTTTAAGCCGATTATGCAGCACTCTGTCAAATGCCTTCTCAAAATCAATGAAATAGGCATATACTTCCTGATTAATATCTAAGCATCTCTCCAAAAGAACACTTACTGCAAACAGTGCATCTCGTGTTCCCAATCCGTTCCTAAATCCCATTTGTGTATTACTTGTGCCTTCATCTAATTTTTTATGTATTCTATAAGAATTACTTTTAAAAACAATTTCCAAACATGACTCATTAAGGCTATGGTGCGATGCTCATTGCACTCATTTGCATTGGCTTTTTTGGGAAGCAGTATGAATGTTGATTGGAACCATTCTTTAGGTATTATACCTGTTCTATATATGGTGTTGAATAGATCCAAAAGAAGATCAATAGATTTAGTATTCACAATTTTGAGTAATTCGATAGGAACTTCATCAAGCCCGGGAGATTTACCACCTTTAGCTTGTTTTATTGCATATTCAATTTCTTCTCGTATAATGTCAGGCCCAGTATCATCCTTAAATTCTTTTGATGCTTCTGTTCTCTCTTTGTCTTCAAAAAGTTGTGCTATATATACTGTGTCCATCTCTGCATTTTTTGGTTTATATCTGTTATAAGTGCACCACTTTCATCTATTAGTTGACTAGTTTGAAGTGTTTTTCTCATTCCTGTTAATTCTCTAATTAGGTATTTTATGCATGCATTGTTTCATTGTTGTTGTATTCTTTGATACAAATTGAAAATATTATACAATAGTATTCAACTAGCAGCAAATTACCCATTCCCGATTGTGGGTCGTCTAAATAACACATGAATGTTGTTTGGAATGTTGTTTGTAAAGATGTTTGTAACTTCAGAAAAGTTCTATCTGTTCATATTTAATACTTAAGTAGATCTTCATTGACTACGGCGTACAACATTTGGTTAAATATTCGTTCGCGACTTTTATTGATATGCACTGATTTTCTTCGTCCATCTTAACATTTTCCTTGGTGTACTTGCAGTTTCACACTTGCAGTTTTATTGTAATATTCTCTACACTAACATTACTTAGTGCGTGTTTATTGTATTGCTTTGCTAAGCAAAAAGCTTAAAATTCTTGGACTGTTTTGTCTATCTATAACTCAATTATAAACGCTTTCTTCAGTAGATAACATTTTTGTACATATAACTTATAAAGATTTTAGTGTACGTAACCCAAACCAACGTCAATATTTGGGTCAAATAACACTGTCAATTGTTACAGGTTCAAGCAAAAGTACTGTTTATTAATACTGTAAACTAACATCCATATTTTGTTTTCATTTTATTTAACGTATTTAATATACTCGGTACACTATAAAAATCAAATTTATCATGGTATCATTTATTATAGATATGGTCCACCCGTAATTAGAGGCTCAATTGATAACTGCCAGTTAACGGATTGGCCATATTATGAGCTAGACCCCAGAGCTCATTTTGAACCTGAACCCGGATTTGAAGTTTACGAGAGGGGCAGTTTTGGTCATGGTTGCGAAACTGGGCACTTTGGCATTAGAGGTCATCTCGACAATCAGCCCAAGCAACTAAATCCCGATCAACGTAAGTGAAAATACTTATAAAATGGTCTTTCGAGAAACTTAGTCGGTAGTAATAGATACTAACACCACCTATCCAGATAACAATATATAAATAACTACATAAATTATAATAAATAGAGCATTTAGAAAGACAATATAGCATTTTTAATATTCATGACAATTCTTTATTTTTTAGTTTGTTACATTGGATTTGGTTCACCAGCACGACTGCTACCACAAGCTATTAAAAAATCACTACATGTATCTTCAGAATTGGAATGTAAAGAAGAATGTACAAGAGCGAGATTGAAGTCACTTTTTCAATGCATGTCATTTAGTTTCTGGTAAGTGTGTTCTCTAAATTAAGTGATTCAGCACTATTAACATGTACCTTATCGTTAGTGTCATTCTGTAACAGAGTGTAACTGCAGAATGTTTGATTCCGTAAGAGAAATGGCGGAGAAAATGATGAGGAATGAGTGGTGGTGAACACGGATCCACAAATTTATCAGGGAGCTGCTCTCTTTAAGAAAACGAGAGGAGAGGGAAGTCGCAACAGAATTTTGAAGCAAGCGAGTAGCACCTTGGTGGGCTTCAGACTGTCACAGGCCGAAATAGGAGCGAATGGGAGACATAGACGCGAGAGAGACAACAGCCTCGCTAAGGCAGTGGGTTGAAAAGCTTTGGTGGTTCGTGTGGGTGTGGTTTTTCTGATGAATGTGCTTCGATATACGAATATCAGGGGAAGTATATCATTTGAATATAGATATCATTTAAGAATGCCAGGGCGCGTTTATGATGGTCTGGAGCTGTATATTCTCTCAAGGAGTTGAATATCTTCTTTTCATTAATGACACTGTCAATGCTGCAAAGTACAGAAGTATTTTACAAGAAGAAGATGCTTATATTAATAAAATTTAACCGACAGATAAGGGATTTATATTTTAACAAGATAGCGCTGCCTGCTATTCAGCTAAACCCATAATATTATGGTTACATTAATGTACGAGACAAGGCACTCCTACAAGAGCGCCATTGTGAGTGGCAGTATTACAACATGTGTATTAATCTCCCATATTATCACTCATTTTTTTAAATCTTGCTTTCAGTTGCCGAGTTTTTATATGTATAGTTTACTATATTTACCACACGTTCTAAAATTATATTTAGTGTATGACTCATATACTTTGCAACTGCTTTTCTGTGAATAAGTCAATGGGTTCAAACTGAATCTGGAGCTTTGCTTAGAGTAAGCGCCTGCAATCGTCCATAGAAAACAATCTGTTAATAGCCAATACCTTCCTCAAACAATGGGAAATCACCTATACACATGGAAATCACCTGCAGACAGAAAAAACAGAATTGTTAGAAATCAAATTGACTTCATTTTACTCAATAGCACCTTTAAGAATTACATAAAATTTACGAAAACATACCCTAGAGCTGATATAGATAGCGATCACAATCCAGTTATAATGAATTTTAAATTAAAAAGATTTCTCTAAGTCAAAAAGAAAACAGTGACAAGAAAAATAGACATCTCACAACTGAAGAACCCTGAATAGAAAAAGAAATAAGTATCAAGCTTGAGGAAGAAATAAAAACGATCGAAAACTTGGTACAGACAGACATTGAAGTAACATGGACTGCTCTAAAAACAAAAATAACAAAGATACAAGAAGACGATGTCGGGTTCATAAAACACAACAAAAAACAAGAATGGATAACGCAAGAGATCATGTACCTCATTGACTTAAGACGAAAACATAAAAAAAGACCAATAGAATACAAGCGAATTAATAAAATCATTAGAAAAAAGTGCAGGGATGCGAAAAAAACTGGATGTCAACAAAATGCCTAGAAATCGAACAACTTCAGGAAAAATATGACGCCTTTAATATTCATAAAAACGTAAAAGTAATGACAGATAGACACAAAAAGAGACAAGCAACAATATTAAAAAATGATAATAACAAAATAATTATAACTACAGAAGACAAACTAGAGAGATTGAAAAAATACATACAAACTCTTTTTGACGACGATAGACCTTGTTCTCCACCATCCGCAGATAATCGAATAAATGAAAAAGGCCCAGCAATAACCAAAAAAGAGGTGATTCACGCAGTAAAATAACAGAAAGTTGGAAAAGCCATCAGTCCAGACAATATCAATGTCGAAATACTAAAACTAATTGCAGATAACGAAAGTAAAAGCCTAGACTTAATAACAGCACTATTCAATAAGATATATGACACAGGTAAAATACCAACAGACCAAAAGAATTCCTCACAATGCGATGATTATCGAATATTAAGATTAATATCTCATGTCCTTAAAACTTTCCTCAGAATTATCCATACACAAATTTACAAGAAATGCGAGTTCCAGATGAATGACACTCAATTTCGGATTTCAAAACGGATTGGGAACACGAGAGACTCTTTTTGCTTTAAATATGTTAACGCAACGATGCAGAGACATGAATGTAGATGTATATGCATGTTTTATTGACTCGAAAAGCATTTGACTGCTTTAACCATCAAAATATGATCGAAATTCTGAGAACAACTGGAGTTGACGAACAAGACTTGCGAATTATCTCAGAACTATACTGGCACCAAACGGCAACAATTGAAATAGAGCACACAACATCCGAAGATATACAAATCCGACGAAAAGTGAGATAGGGTTGCGTCTTATCACTGCTACTGTTTAATTTGTATTCGGAGTATTCTATATTCAGAGAAGCATTAGACGAGGTCCAAGTGGGAATTAAGATTAACAGAATCAGCATAGACAACATCAGATGTGCTAATAATATCGTCTTTATAGCAAGCAACGCACAAGAACTACAAAATATAATAAATGCGGTAGTTCACCCCAGCGAAATGTTCGGTTTACATCTAAACGTTTCCAAAACTAAAACTATAGTATTTTCAAAGACACCAATAAACGTACATGTATATGCCAAGGATCAAATAATAGAACAGGTAAATTTCATAAAATATTTGGGAGTAAATATCAATAGTCAGTGTAATCCAAAAAAGAAATCCTATCAAGAATCGAACAAGCAAGGAAAACATTTATGAGCATGAAAACATTTTTTACAAGATCAGACCTTAGTTTGCAGCTTAGCATCCGAATGATCAGATGTTACGTTTTTTCTGTCTTACTGTATGGCTGTGAAAGTTAGACAATGGACTCTGAAATAGAAAAATAAAATAGATGCCTTTGAGATGTATATATACAGACGAATGTTGAGAATTCCATGGGTACAAAGAGTTACTAACATTGAGGTACTTCGTCGCATGTGTAACTAAAAAGAATTACTAAGAATAATCGAAGGGAGGAAAATGCAATACTTTGGTTATGTGTTGAGAGTCGAAAGATATGAATTACTTCAGGTTATACTGGAAGGAAAAGTATAGGGCAAAAGGTCATTAGAAAGACGCCAGAACTCGTGGCTGAAAGACCTGAGGAGATGGTTCGACCGCTCATCCGCAGAAATATTTCGCGCAGCAGTTTCCAAAACTACAATTGCCATTTGGATCGCCAACCTTCGAAAGAAGACGGTACTATGAGAAGAGAAGAATCGTCCATAAGAGCCGAACATCGAACGACCACCATCAGTTCAAACACATAAATATATTCAGAAGCTCGACTAAATCCTGAACCATTAAACTTCCTGTAATACTTTTACAAAATAGGTCATCATCAATTAAATTATTTCTAAAAACCGTACGTAACAAATCAAGTGTGCGTCCCTATTATTATCTGTGGCCACATCGAGCTGCAATCCAAATTCACTTCCTTTTAATTTTTTAATTAATTGTATATTGAGATCCTCCCCCATGTCCTGAATACTGCTAGTAATGGTATTGTTAGATAAAAGTAGTTTTCCCGCCGACTCATCAATCATAATGTTCACTAAATCTATAGCAGAGTAAAGTTAACAACGTTGAAGACGTACTGGTGCTGTTCGAAGCACTATAGACTGAGAAGAACATCTCTTACGGTTAAATTCCATTAAAGATCTATTTTTCACCTTTTGGTATGAGCAGTGGTTATAAGGAATGGCTATCTCTATCAGGAAAGACGACTCCTCCTATCATCAGTTTACCGTAGGATCAGATCTTTTGGTTTAAAGTCGTATTAACTAAAACATATTTTTTCTATTAGCCCAAAAATGTAGGTAATGTTAAGAGTATTCAGTTGAATAAGGATTGTAATGTTTCCATACCTTCAGCAACTAGAAAACCTAATTTCCCCATGTCAGATTTCATCTAGTAGCAGTCACTATCAGAATTCCTTCAGGTTACCATTCTTTCCTCGAGAGCTAGATCTCCATGCCAGTCCATCATCTTCGCCCAAGAAAGATGTATAGCAAATCATATGTTGAAGATGCATTATTCAGACCATGGCTTGAAGAATTTAGCATATTATAAGTCAAGAGTGATCTCAGTCCAATTTTAAAATTTCCAGGCAAATAATGAGAAAATTGTTTTAAAACTTGATCATTTCATGTAATATGTAAACCTTTCTATTTAACAAAAATATGTGAAAACATTTTAATTATTAACGAATATTGCATTTTCAATGCCACATAATATTATAATGTACGTTTTCACTAGCGTTTTAAGTGATTAAAAATAATTAGTAACAATAACTTCAGGTATAAAATTAATGCACCTTACTTTATTTGTATAATAATATGTGGAATAGTTCAGTTGAACTGATTGATAGTTTTTTATTTACCTATATCTACTTGTGTCTTATTTTAGGTCCAAAGGTTCACGTAATGTACCAAACTGCTATCTCTCTGACATTTATCAAAGAGATTTATTGGCGAAATTAGATTACGTCTACGACCCAAATGCATTGCTATTTGCTTGGGACAACTACAATCCTGATTGCGTGTTACTGGCTAACGATCCTGTCCACACCAACCACATATCAGGAGGACCGATTGATAGAGATTGTAAGATAATAATTTTTTAAAAATATATAACAATTTATAATACTACATAATTTACTAACGTTAGAATTAAGTGTCTTATTAAGTGATATTGTTATTCTTTGTTATCGTTGTTTAAAGCATACTTTTTGCTTCTTTTGTTGCTACTTTCTTCTTCCACTACATAATTTGGGTCACCATCACTAGAATCGGAATCATGATATCAATCACTTTCACCAAAAAACTCAGTAAAACTAGCCATTTTCGCGTAGCGATATACACACTGCATTTTAAAAACGAGGAAAATGTGAGGACTTCCTCAGTCTTGGGCGCAAAAACCGGTCATGTAAATCACATGGCTGGTTATTGCTCTCAATATCGTCGATCCTAAGGACTATGCTCTTAACATTTTTCGTGCAATAACTATCCACGTTATTCTATATTGAGTTTTTTACACAATACGTGTACGGGTTAAAATAATAATAAACATGGAAATGTAACTTGTTTTATGCAGTACCAGTGAGAGTTATGTTGCCTTCGGATCCAGGTTTTTTTCCGGTCGCAGACGATGCATTTTGCACTCCCATGGCGGGCTCTGGACCGAAATATTTTGTAGCTAATATTAATATAATTATATATATATTATATATATATATATATATATATATATATATATATATATATATATATATATATATATATATATATAATTGTATAATATTTGTAGCATTACTGAATATACTCGCACCGAACCCTTCTGCAATTTTAGACACATCTGCGTATCAGGGATAACTCTGCAGTATGGGTCAAGTGGTTTCTCTCTGCCATCCCTCTCGTGGGCAAATGTCTACTTGGAAAAGTACTTTAGGTCTATATCTGGGTGCAATATCATCAGAAATCAATTATCCATTCGGTATCACTAATTTTATTTATAATGTTACTATATCCTGATTACTTGCAATATTTATTTATGCAGATAAATATAGTACGAAAGGAAGGTCCAGAATCTAAGAGAATTTCGTGACTTAAAAACTTAAGATATCGGACTGCACAAATAACCGAAACTCTTTTTAAAGTGATAATCCATGGTAATGAAATATCGTAGCTATCGTCCACTAACCTGACGCGGCACTCCAAAAATAAAATTCTAAAATCTGATTATAATTTCATCTTCTTTTAGACTTTTCTCACGCTCTTGACACGTGGCGTGTTTACAGTGTTAACGGATGGCCATGCAAACGAGGAGCTTCGTGTAAAGAAAACGTACGGACTGGATTTTGGTTCTGCGAAATTGAAGGTGGTGAACATGGTGCTTGGGATTACTGTTGTCGGCCGGATCATCAGTGTGGTGCTTCCAATGGATACCCGTACCTATGGTAAGTGTACAAGATATTTATAATAATACCAAATCTTAACAAAACATTAGATAAAAATTAATATCCACGCTTGCGTGTATTACACAAAAAAAAATCGTCATTCTCCATTTGAAAATGTTTGATAGCCCACATTAATGTCTTAAATATGTGAGGAAGAATTCTCAAATTATTTTAAATTTTCTTGTCCCAAATATTGCAATAATTTTATTAAATCAATAATACGGGTAACTACATAATCTCTCCAGGTATAAAATATTATTATTAGACTTAGGCAGATACGCAAAAAAAGTGGAAAATATGCGCATAAATATGCACTAATTTACCTAAAAATATGCATTAAATATGCATTTTTTTAGAAAATAGTTATACGACCAATGGAAACATATTTTCATGTTAATAAATTAATGTTTATTTTAATAAGTAGAAAACAATATACTTAACCCGTAACCACAGACGTCCAACTAACTGAACATTACCACAGACGTTGCGTCAAAATAACTCCTATATTTGAATAACTGAAAAAAACTAAGCTTACCTCTACCTTATATTGCTTAAGTAGGGTATAAGTATTAATGTTTAATATAATTATGGATATATTTTAGTAAAACGCAATCAAGTTATAGAGAAATAAATGTAATGCATACAATTTTTGAAAAATTTTGATACATTTTTTTTGCAGTATTTTTAACTAAAAAAAAACTTGCTAAGCAGTTTTTATTCAAAATTTGTTAAAAACATAGAACATAACAATTAGAATAATTAGAAATTAACATAAAAATAATATTATGGAAACGTACAGTAAGTTTTCCCAACTTATATTTTCATTGTGCACACTCCAAGCAAACTCTTTTGGTACAATCCATACATATTGGAATTTTACAAATTATGCAGAAGTGTGCTGTTTTTCGTCTTCTTTTAGCTGGGCAACGCTTACAGTATTTTCTGACTACAAAATTTTCTTCCTGGCTAGCACTAGGGCATTCTAATTCTATTTTTAAAACACGACCAATACACATTCTGACTTCCCGACTGATGTCCATATTTTGAAAACGACGTCTCATTTCTGGTTCTATTAGCTGCATTGCAAGTTGTTTATTGAATTCGAAACGTTTCAGCTCCACATTGTCTCGGCACGGCTGATGAACCAAAAAAGAATTAACAGTTGAAATATCTAGCATTTTATAAAAAATTGCCATTTGCCAACACCGCGTTCTTCGACCCATTGAATAAACACTACACTTTTCATCCAAGCTATCCACTCCTCCTTTTGTTAGATTGTAGAAGTCGATTATTTCCGGTTTGCCAGATTCTCCTACGTTTCCTTCATCATGGTGCATTGAGGAGACTAACAAAACGGCCTTGTGCTTCCTTGGAACGTGAGAAAGTAGGGTAATGTCTGGTAAAGTGCTGGTAAAACCGTACAAACTAGAACCTGCAGATCTTTCTTTTTTTGGTGAAAAGCTAACTGGAATTTCACGCTTATTTTTTTTTTTCAATGTTCCAACATATGTCAGACCGTCAGACAGTAATGGGCAATCGGAACTCATGGTACAAAATGTAAAAAATGCACTTAAAAAAATGACAGATAGTAATGAACAAACTAACATACAATTAGCATTGCACATATATCTCCTTACTCAGCACATTACACCCCATTGTGCAACAGGAAGATGTTAATCAGAAATATTATTGGGGCGAAAACTATGCTCGTTATTTGATCGTTTACAGACCAGCTTTAGAAAAGAGATACTATTTAAGCAAGAGATCAAATATACTGACAAAGCAGTACCCAGATTCTCTCAAGAAAACGAGACTATTTGTTCCAAGTCAACAGTTGCTTCCTTCCAAAATAATTGAAACCACTGGACCGTTAAGCTCATCGAGCAAAAAGATAAAAGAGGGAATCTAATCGTTATGAAAAGGAGACCAAAAAAGTGGCCTCTGATGGCGGACATATCCGGAAATCCAAAGGCGCTAAATTTAAATTTTCCAACACTTATTAACAAATAGCTATAAAATATTTTTCAGACGAGAAAGTTTTAATTAAATATTAACTATAATAGTCTAAAAAAGTGACACAATTGGTAAAAAACTTCAATATAAATAAAATTTCATGTGACAGTTGGGACAAACAATAACATAACCAAACTAAATTTGACTTCTCAAACAAGGAAAGACTATCTTTCCTTGTTTAAAGTGGCCTCTCAAGATAGCACTTCCTGTCGAACAATATTTATGCCCCCACTACCTTTACATTCCCTCTTTTATCTTTTTGCTCGATGGTTAAGCTACAAAGTTCACACCCCTGATGCTAAAATTTTACGTCGTCATTCTGACCAAATCAGAACCCATATGTGTGAAGCAAAAGACAGTTACTCCGTCAACCTCAAGGGAAACAAAATTACTGATACCTCTGCAACAGCCTTTTCCGCATCCAAACGAATTTATAGACCCAGAACCAGAAATTGTAGAGCAGGCCGCTGAAGTTAAAAAGTAACCTGCTCGAAGAAAACCTAAAAAGGTTTTTGGACGACTATGATGGGTAAATTCATCCAGGAGGTAGGAGTGTGATGTATTGGCAACATTGGTGTATGTAGTGGTATTGGTGCATGTGCACCAGCGCGTCACAATCAGCTGATGAAAAAACTCTCGACGACATAGACGATCGACTATAATACTTGTTCTGTTATTATTTTCCTTGCGTTTTGAAGTAATAATTAAAGTCTGTAGTATACTGATACTTTTGTTATTATTTACAACCCAGTCCGATACATATTTCTTTTATATTTAAGGTGTTATGTTGGACCAGACAGGACACAATGGCGAAGATGTAACGATAGATATTATCCTTATATACATAATACAGATAGAATAGATGCTGGAAAATATCTGCCGCCTGGTCAAAGTCGGCCTTGGAGGCCTCCACTCTTTAGACCCGATAGGCTACCATCGCAAAACCCACTGCCACCTCCTAGGCCAAGTCTTGATCAGTACGAAATGATATTTGATGAGGAATTCTTAGAACCTCCGAAGCCAGGTAAGCGACTACTACTTAAAGTACTTTCCTTCTCTATCAGTAAACCCTCTTTACAATTTGCTATTTTTAGACTCTTCGAAATGCATATTCCTTCACTAACTTTATTTGTAAGCAGAATTAGATGAAAAATCTTTGTGACTTTTAGTTACTTGGTAAAATTTGGGTTATTCAATCAACGGTAAAATATAAAGCAAAGGCTGTATGTAAATAGGTACAATTTACTTCTTGGGATGCTCTGTAGATTTCAGACGTTGACTATAATCAATGCAATTCGGACTTCAAGCAACGCCGTTGGAGTTGTTTTAAACAACCCACAAAATTATTAAGGCTCGAGATTCTTCTTCTTTCCGGACCTTTCTCGTCGGGAATTTTTCCTTGGATAACAGATAACCTAGGATAATCTATATTTTTCTTTGTTACTCATGAACCACGTGTTTTAATGTATCAGTATTTATATTTTATAGCTAATTTTTACATTTTTTTTTATTTTGCCAACTAAAGCTTTTATATTACCAAGTTTTTTAAGCTTTCCTTCTTCTTCTTTTTTGTACTAGGTGTATTTGATTTTCTAAATTTGTTTTTCGTTTCGGTTGATTCGGTAAATTTGGTTGATGAATATTGTAATATTTAATAAGAATATTTATATTTTAGGAGGTCTTGGACAGCCGCGACATTGGCCGGTATCATATCTACACAAAGAAATGCCGCCAAATATGACAGACTCCCGACTGATGAGAATGACAGCAGATACGAAATACTCTGCAATACAAAATCTAATAGATGTAATAAAAAATAACGACCTTAAAAGCGTACAATATCATATAACGAATCAGTCAAACAATAAGGATGACGTCCTTTTTGTTAAAATACCCCTACCTACAAATTTTACATTCGATAACACCACAACCCCTTCAACAAACTACACAATAGATTTAGAGCCTATTACATTAGACGATGACGCCAGTGAATCAAGGAGGTTTCAAAAATCGTTGCCACAGTTTGTGACTGAAGAAGATACTACCATTAATCTGCAACAATTTCAGACATCTCGGCCACGTTTTGTAGAGTGGAATACCAAACAAGAAACAACAGCGGCACCAGAGAGTTCGTTCGCAGAAATATCAAGGCCAAGTTCGATCTACAGAAGAGGATTCGTAGAAAGAACCAATGTTACCACACACGGAAGGCGTTCCAAATGAAGACTTTTAGCACAAAACACGGTAAGTGCAGTTTAATGCTTAAAAGAATAATTATTTACCTGTATACATTGTACTGTGTTCATATGTAACATAAGTGTTCATATTAAACGCATGTATGACGAGCACGACATCTAGGATAATCTTACTCAAATAGGTTGTTCTACATAAACTCAACTTATAAAAAAGACGGTTTTATTTAACGGTTGTATAGATGTAGAAAATCCATGTCCAAGTAATACTGATACCACGAAAACCTTTGTTAGCCCAACAATTTTTTAAGGGTTATCCTAAAGGTCCGACAAGAAAATCTTGGAAGGGGAACAAAAAACACTAAGGAAAGAAGATGATAGCTACAGGAAAAAATGGAACTGGTTAAATCTCAAGAAAAAACACCAAAATAGAAAAAAGTAACTAGGAGCTTATTAGATAATGATTCTGATAAGTAAGTTGAAAATGAGAAGAAATTACAAGATTCTAGCAAAGGAGAAGATTTTATTGGTGAAGATCCCGAACCAATTAGTTTTGAAGATCTTGATTGCTGTCCCAATAATGGGAATTATGTGCTTGTTGAATTTAACTCTAAGCAAAAGACATGCTATGTAGGCAAAGTCTTGTCTCAAATAAAAGAAAATGATTTTGAAATATCGTTTTTAAGAAAAAGCGATAAATGTAAAAACTGGTTCTTTTTTCCAGTTGTCTCACATGTATTAAAAAGTGACATTCAAATGATTTTGTTGTCCCCTGTAATGCAAGGGTTAACTAAGCGCCAAAGTTCGCTTTTAAAATTTGAATTGAAAACTGGCAGTCTTAACGTAAAATAATGTCAATGGTTGCGTCTAAGTGTTTCCACATTGAAAGGAACAGTGAGACATTTAGTAATTTTTAGTTTTAATATTTTTGAGGAGTTAACTTTTGTTCATATCAAAAAACGATATGATTTTCAGTTCTTGTTTATATGCCAAATATAGAGGTACAATATAAGTTTAAAGTAGCATTTAATAAAAAAGTTATTGTCATTGAAAGTTTTGCGTCTCAGTGTTCCTACCACTCCCCTACTTACACAAAAGTAAATATGGTAAAAAAGTTCAAATTATTTGAATAATGACCTCAATTTCCTTTCATTTTGTTGATATATCTTACAAAGTAGATTTTATCATTATATAAAAGAAACGTATAAATTAGAGCAAAAATAATATTAAAGTAACTTAACAAATTTTGTGAAAAAAATAGCAAAATTAAATAAATGCGTTTGTGAACTTATTTGTTATTTATCTAAATAAAATATTTACAATAAATGTTCTTAAATTGAAAAAATATGGAAGTTTGATTCCTGATTTATGTTTACGTTGTTTTAGGTTCCAGCACCAACCTTTACGGAGATCTCAGTTCAAGAATGTCTAGAAAATGAAGTTCGTGAACATCATTTTATACAAAAAACTTCACTGTTTTTGAATAAACTTTCTATATAATTCTACACGATCTATATTTATTTCAATAATACTTGAATAATATTACTAATAAAGGAGTATTATTATTCTTATACAACTAACAAAACCTCATATCAGAATATAATAACATAATATGTATTATGCACAGCCGTCTTCTATTTTACTCACACACATTACACTGATTAAAAAAATCTTTAGGTCAATAAATCAAAATTTTTCGTTTAGTTAATCTTTTTTTTTTTTTTTCATAGTACCGTATGATATCTCGTATGTTGCTAGATCTTCACTAATAACGAAGATGCTGCCCTTTTAGTAGCCGCCTTGCTTGCTTTTTTATCTTAAAATATTCGATATACATACCTCCCTTTTCATCAAACACATCACACGCTCCAATCGTACCAATAACAGCGAAGATATGATGTAAAGCAGTTTTGGCAATGCCGCCATGAGTATTTTTCGGTGTCAATATATTCGCTACCTCTCTCCCTCCTCTTTTTAATTATGTATTATACGTCACGATCCCACAAACTATTCTATCCCCACCACAAAACACTCAAAAAATAATTAAATCATCAATTTGTAGAATGAATTAGCAAGAAATCAACCGTATCATTTCAAGAACAAAATAAGATTGAAATATCAGATGGTAGTTCAAAATTTCTTTCCTATGTGGCGCTAGGAGTTATCCTTTGGGACAAACAGTTTGAGTTACAGTCCAAGCAAAGAATATAGACGGGTATAGAAGAACAGTTCAAAAGAACGGAGCTATTTATTTAATTTTGCATCTACGATTAAAAAAATTCCCATGCTTTTTTTGGTTTTTGCACAATAAAATCTTTATTTTTAATACATTAAATTGTTAAATTTTTAATTTTGAAATTTAAAAAGGTATGATATTTACAATATTCAAAGCATTTATTTTTTACAGTTTATAACTTTGAATTAAAAATAGGTTTGTTCCAAGACAACGAAAAACCGCCACATAAATTTTTATTATACTGTTTTTCTGTCCAAAAATTAACGAAATATTTTTTAAAAATTTCAAAATTTTTCAACCAAAAATTTAATTTTCCACTTTTTAGACAATTTTCCATTATTCTGCAGAAAAACAGTTTTGTGTTTTACATTTTATGTTATTTTATATTAAAAACAAAGAAGAAGAAATTATTAAATTTAGAAAATTTGGAAATATTTAATTCCGGTGATTGATGACTTTATTGATTGAATTAATTTTATTTATAGTTAATAAGAAGAGAGTTTTAAGTATATTATTTGTAGGTTTGTACATATTTAAATTAAAAATTTGAATCATAATATTTTTGCTAATAGGATTCATTTATTAAAAGTTACAATATTATTTTCTTTAAAAAATGTTATAAAACGCAAAAATTTAATCCTATTCTACGGCCACGCGGCATCTACATAAAAATATCTGTTGCCCCACTCTTTCATATTTTAAAAGCAATAATAGCGCCGACATGACCGCTTCCTACTGGTACTAAAATCTCGATCCACCCTCTCATTCTTTTTCATAACGTGCGACCATCTTTTGCCAACTTTCAAAAATAACAGAGAAAGATTCTTCTATAAGCGTCTATATTCTTTGGTCCTAGCCTTTTATATAGATAGATTATCTGTGTCTGTGGTTTGAATTCTCTCGTTAGACATTAATTTGACTTTTGAGAAAAGTACTCTAGATTCTTGGCGGTCAGCGTGTTCTTCTAGTTGACCACATATGTTTTTAATATAGGTAATTATGTTTGTCTCTTCTCCATAAGTGTTTTATAGTTGAATTTCAATTTATAGTCCGCTCCATATCGTCGAGATATTTAAATAATTAAGGAAATAATCTTTAAAAATATCAATAAAACAATTTTATTAATAACATAAAATATATTTACGGTATATGAATAAGTATATGATAAATAATACAGTGTAGGTAATGGCAATGGTTTCTAAAAATGTTACGTATGGAAATACAGTAGAAACCAGTAAGAACTGGTTTGAAAAACTGATATTTCTAACTCATTTGTTGACGCATAATAATAATATCGTTGATACTCAGTTGCTAACTTTTTAATACATTTATAGCAAAAAATAAGATAATTTTATACATTATTACTATCTCTAGTTTTATGCAAAAGATATATTTGTATAAAGTATTTTATTAACCTAATAAAATAGCTGATATCATATCTTAATTCGAATAAAAAGTTCGTAAATATTTCAATTATTCTTGTAGCTCATAATATCATAGCGAACTATTCTATATTTTGATTAATTACAAAAGTTGTGCCTCTTCATAATAGCACCAATAGCTTTAACTTCTTCAAAGACGATACAGTAGAAAAAATAGAGTACCATACAGAAATTATTTTGAATATCAAAATATAATTTTTAGCAAACTACGTTAACGCTTAATCTTAATGTAAATATTTTGTGGTGTCATATTTACCGTAGTGGCCTGAAACGAAATATGGGGAGACAATATTAACTTTTAAAAAAGTTTGCCGCTCAAAATACAACCAAAACCACACTCATTTATGTTAAATAGGAAGAATACTAAATAAGGGCCCTTTTCCTCGATAATATAGTACCAATAACGCCAATTATACAGCAAGATCAAGGGATATCGGGAATAGGTACGTATTAAATGACTTTCAAGAGTTGATCATTAAAAAAACGTTTATGGTCTTTACGGTAAATAGAGCACCCAATAAAACTATCAATTCCTCATGATTTAGCACATTATTTCAGTAATATGCACTACTAAAGGCGATATATGATCATTAAAAGTAAGCAAGACTACTTCCTTAACTAATATAGTCTGAGTGATAACATATAAATCTAACATGTATTAATTATTTTGTTGTAAACTATATTATATTTGTATAACTACAAATTCATGTAGTTTCAAATTGAATAATTTGAAACTGACTAATTTGATTAATCAAATTATGTAGTTTCTCATTTTTAGTTAAATAAAATAAAAATAAACAAATAAAATATCACTTGTACCTGAACTGCTCAAAAATCTCTTTTATGATTTTTTTTTAATAAGAAAGATGTAATAAAACGTTAAAATGTTTTTTTCATGCTACAGTCCATTTTAATTTTTTTTAAAGGACATTGTGCTAATATTATCTTTAACTTCACTGCTAAAAAGGTTAGTTATTTTGTTGGCATAGAATTGCTTCTTTTAAATTTTCACCCTACATAGTAATTTACTATTATAACATAATAATTTCTCAATGGGTCACACTTTTGTACCATTCTACACGTAAAGTCTTAATATACCATCAAGAATCTTTTGTTCATGTTTGCGTCCTATATACCTTCGCAAATTAAAACCTATCGAAAATTGCCGTTATTGCAACCTAACATCTAGTCGTAAAATGTTATTCCTCGAATTTGATCCACATTGCTTTCGCTAGAAAACAGGTATAAACGGTTACTCGAAAGTAAGTATAGTTTTTATCGTTTTTGGGATCCTTTATGAAAATTCATTAAAAGTGGTTTAAGCCGTTGGAAATAGCGGTTTGCTTTTTTCCTATTTTTCCTATAAATTGATGGATTGGGCCAGAAATTTATGCATTCTATATTCACGTCTCAAGCTAGGCATAAGCCCAAAATCATTATATACTAGCGTAGAGTCTAGACACTACGTCTCGCAAACTGAACAGAGTAATTTTAGTCACATTGCAACTTATTTTTAAAATCAGCAAATATTATTTACTATCAATTTGACTTAGAAATTGTTTCGATAAAAGATTCTTCAATACAAGTCTTCATATTCAGCCAGTTTCATCCTCTGGCTCGCTTCTTATGTTGTAGAAAAGAGACAGTTCATAACACCACAGTAAAACCTGGTTTAAAAACCACAATTAGTAAAGTTGAACTTCCTCCGGTTAACTGGGCACTTGACACACCTTTATCTGCCTGAAATGTTGAGGATATTGTACATAGGTATAGCTAAACTAATCTAGTAGTAGTACCATCTAATAGAAAGTTCTAAAAGATAAACAAAAACTGATTAAATATTTTTTTATTACATTCTTTGTTCATTGGTATCCTAGTTTTAAGAGCATGTGGCTTAAACTGTGTTATGAATTCGATTTGTAAGTCCACACTGCGTCTTCTTCTTCTTTTTAGAATGCCGTCTCCCTATCTTCTTCTTCAGATGCAAATCCACTAATGGATGTTAGCGATCACATTTTCCATTAACTCTCTATTTCTTGCAATATGTATCAGAGATTGTATGTCGTTAATCCCTGTCCATTGCCTTATGTTTCGGAGCCAGGACATTTTCTTGCGTCCCATTCCTCTCTTGCCTTCAATTTTCTCCCTATGGAGGTTGGCAATCATAATAGCTATTTTTATTTTAGAACCTCTGCTCTAAACAAATCAATCGATCTGCGTACTGCGTACAGCAGCATAATCCGTGACGTACTACATAAAGCAATAAACTTTAACATAGAACTTGAAATTTGAATTCACTTTTTTTTAACAAACCTCTTATTTCACTGTTTACAAAACCACCTCTTATTGGAATCCCATTTTGTTTTATGGACTACAAAACACAACTCATGTATATTGGATTCTTCGTTTTGTGCATATACTTCTGAATTTTCTCAACAAATCATGATCTAAACGTGTTGTCCAATCAATTTTTTTTAATTCTTGGTAGTTTTTTCAAAGAGTTTTGAGTAATTTAAGTACAAGCTTTATTATTAATCAATCAATAGTTTGTAGTCTATCAATATAGTCTGTACGTTGGATCTTTGTACAAGTGCGACGTTATTCTTGAATTAATTTTTTTATTTTCCTTTTGTATCACGCACAAAAGAAACCATTACATAAAGACAGCAATATGACGCAGTGTAGTGATTGAGTCACACACCGTGAATTTTGAGATTTTTAACTGACAAGTGACACTGTATTTGCTTTTCGTATTTGAAATTTTAATCCAATTGCATGACCTGCATTTAGGATTTTTTCAAAAAGTAAATATCTTCTATTACTTTACTGTTCTTGGAATATATTTATAAGCTAATAACGAGAAATAATATTTTGAAACCTCTAAATTGACATTTTATTATTTGACATTGTACAATGCTTATTAGGAATCTACTTTTAACTTAAATCTTTGATTCAATTCGCATTAATATAAATGATAACGTTTGTGCAAAAATCCAGTGAACCATTTATAATGGACTTCAGTGCCAAATCTAAATATCACATGCTACTTGTTTATGGTAAGCGATTTTCTGTGTACAATTTATGTACTTATCTATTGAATTTTATAAAAAATAAATCAATTATAGATCCACTTTACGTTTTTAAAGGATTAAAAAATCAAGAAAACTGCACCCTAATTGTTTAAGACCATAAAGTTTGAAGTGTACAAGGCAATATAAGTAAAGGCACGAAAATTCTTGTTAGCATATTTTAAAAATGTTTTATATTTATACATCTAGATCAGAAGATCTGTGTACAGCTCAGCATTCTCTCACTGGCGTAGCCACGATTGACTTTTGCCTATCATATGTACACAGACAGTAAATATTTTACATTTAGCTAGATTAGAGGATATTGACTTATTAATATCTAGTGACTGTTAAGGAGAAATATAAAATCAATGTTATTTAAATTATTTTAACATTTTTTTCAAGTTCGAGTTTGTGTTTTTTTTTTTAATAAAAAAAGAAAACATCAATAATCATAGCAAAACATAATAAACAACAATTAAAAACGATAAAAACAATAATCCAATACATTGTTCACAACTATGATATATTTCTTAACAAATCTGATAGTATCAACACATAAATTCTTATAATTATCCTTACATGACTAATTTTTTACATAATCTCTAAAAATCCCAACATTTCATGCATTCCTCTTCATACCCTTTAACTTCAGGCACTATAATTATTTACTGTAATATTTCGCATTAATGATATAGTGCATTGATATTTTTTGGGAAAGTATTTAGTATAGTAGTAATATTTACATATTTTGATTTTAATATCTTCTATTATTTTATTAAAATCCGGCTCGATGGACCAATATTTATCTAGGACATATTGAAATTCGCTGGTTAATTACTTAAAGTAATAAACAATTGAATAGACTATAATGTAATAGGAAAACACTTGACGCAAGTCATAAATGTTATCTTGTACAATGAAAGGCACTTACTATTCATCGAAATGTGAATTAATTGTAGCTAGAGCAGCATCTCAACTCGGTATCTACAGCCACGACGCCAACGGCAGGAAGGAATGGGCGCAAATGGTACCCGCGATCAAAAGTCATTGTGGACGCGTAAATGTTACAATTTCGAGGATATAAAGGGTCCCGGTCATAGGGACCAAAAACCCTTAGTTGATGGTTTATGATCGGGGGTAGTAAGAAGTAATGGGCGTGCCACCATAAATTAAAGCTTTCTATTGAGTATGCAGTGGTATCTTTTTAAAGTCAATAATTTAGATAAATGATTCAAGTAATTTGAGATTTTAAGAGTTTTGTGCCTCCAAAAGGCAATTAAGAACAGTTGAACTTGAAAATATATGACAACGCCAATTTTAGAGAGCGATACTTAAAAAAGATAATGAAGATATACAATGAGAATAAGTAATTAAAATATATAATTAAAGTCATATTATAATATATTATAAATATGGTCATACTTTTAACGAAATAAAATATATTAAAATCAAAATATATGAATAGATACTAAATACTTTCCCAAACATGATACTTAGCGAGGCCATCCAAAAATCTTACAGTCCAACTACTTCTTCGAAATCGCAGCCCGCTGGTGCTGTCTGATGGTCAGTATGCTTACCGGCCACAGTAGACTCAGGCAGCATCTACATCTGCTTGGATTGGCGGATCGGCCAAGATACTATCCATGGTCTATGATACGAGGAGGGGGAAATCTCCTTACATGCCCTCTGGAAGTGCCCGGCATTGGTCTATCACAGTTGGTAGCTCCTGGGTTCGGTCTTTATGCAACCGAGCCGAGCCCTAGTGAAAGATAATTATGAAGTCAGAAAATTTACTAAATGATTAGACGTTCGGAACGGCAGGAAGAGCTCGGATTTAGAGGCCCTGCTGATTCTAGCATATATAGGAGCCAGAAATGGCCTGAGATCCAGAAATGGCCTGAGAACCAGAAACGGCGAAGACCAGGTCCTTATAGACCTAGTTCGGATGATAGGGGTGACACAACGGAACCTCCCCAGGTCTAAAGTGTCTAAAGCTCTCAAAAATGGGCCCTGTCCCGACCTACTATGAACATGACCATATTCATTGTGCTTTTGGTAAAAAGTACGGTACACAACCTAGTATTTTAAATTCTGCTTATAGCTTTTAGTGTCTAAAGTGGTTAGTAACAGGACAATAAGTGATAATGATATTGCAAATAATCGACTGATTGATTAGTTGTCCCAATCATAACCGCAATCGGATTCCCAGTAGCAGCAAAATGTAGCAGCAGTAGGAAAGCATTTGTTTGTGTCAATCATAGTGTATCTCTAGTCAATGCGCAAGGCTCCTAAACTTCAGGATCATTTATTACCATTCAAAAATGCTAAATATCACTGATACTAAACGTTATTAAGTAAATTGTATTCCAAAATATTTCAATTATACTCTCAGTTAAAAGGCATTCTACATTTTGCGAAATAAACTTTGTTCTGCTTATCTTAACAACTACTGTCACAATTTGGAATTCATCCATAAAAATATTAGTAAGAATTATAAACCTCTAAAATGGACTTTCATTGAACTACAATATCCTTATAATACAGAGTTTATCTGAATGTATAAAGAAATGCTAGCAGTGAGTTTACTAATATTACAACAAATAGTCATACAAACAGCAATTTGAATTGCTGAATCTTGCAATTGCTTGAAGTTATGGAATCTCTAATGTTGTAATATAATTAAAACAAAACTAGCAACATTATTCTGAAGTGTTTCAATACTGTTTTTTTAATATTATACACTGCCTCCTGCTTTTGGTATTTATATTTTTTAAAGACAAAAACTGTTCTTTCTATTTGTTTGTCCGCTTAAGCAGTAATACATAACCACTTTCCTGTGAAATAACTTGTACGGAAAACATCGTTTCTTCCTTGATGTGCTCTAAAACATCATTGTTTAACTGAATATGGATCGATTGAGGTCCTTCCAAATAGACGTCACGTATTTGATTTTGAGACATTCCTATGAATGCCGAAAGCTTTAGTATAAGTTCCTCATTGCTATGAGATGTCAAGAAGATGGCGTTAAAGATTGAGGAGTTTTCTCGACATACGTAGATTTTCAATTTTGGTGCAATCGTTCTGAAAAAAATAATAATAAATGAGTGTATATCCAAAATATGTAGATCACAAAAAAGAAATATTCAAATTCAAAGACAGAAGGTGTAAGTATAGAATATAGTATATAGAGTAAAGCATATTAAACTAATAGAAGTACAAAATAGAACTACAAAAAAAAACATTGAAATTATAAAGGCTATATTTTGGAATAAGAAAGCAATAGTAAAAGTGAATGAGAAACAAATAATATATTGATTGATTAATTTTCAACGTACACATCGTCCCTACCATTTCCAACTATCGAATGTGAAAAATTGAATTTTCCAGATTCGATACCTTGTAATTGCATTAGACGTGATACACCTTGTAGCAAAATATCGAAATTGTACCTTGATAAGGAACGCAGGAAATATTCTGTTTAAACTATCGAATACGAACATTTTGTCATTTTGTTTTGGTCAAAATATCGAATATACCGCAAACTGACGAAAATGGAATATTCGATACTTTTGTTTTGTATAAAATATATCTAAAGTCTTATTTGTACAACGCAAAATGACGAATGTGTCACATTCATTAGTTTCAGTGTTGTAATTGATACAGTTATTCAATTATAATCTGCAAACAGTCGTCTTCTTCTTCTTCTTGATTCTTGTATGTACGCTTTAAAGCCATTTCTTCTTCAACATTTGCCTCCTAAATTGTTTAAATTATCGCACCATCTTTTTCTTGGTCTGCCAATACTTCTTCGTCCATTTGGTGAATCTCGTGCTATTCGTACTATCCTATCCTATGGCATTCTACTAATGTTCTTCTAATGTTCACTTCCTGTTTCCGTTTTGTCACCCATCTATTTATGTTTTCTATATTGCATTCTCTTCTTATGTTTTCGCTTCTCTCCCTATCCAACAGACTTTTCCCTGATATTCGTCGAAGTATTTTCATTTCTGTTGTTTCTAGTAGTCGTCTTGCTTTAGATGTGTCAGTCTTGTCTCTACCGTGTATGTTAATATAGGTCTAATTGCTGCTTTATAGATTCTTGGTTTTGTGTCTTGTCTTAGGTGTCTGTTCTTCCAGATTATGTCATTAAGAGATCCCACTGCTTTACTTGCTTTTAAGCTTTTTTATCGTACTTCTTTAACAGTTCTCCGTAACTGGTTATATCTATTCCCAGATATCTAAACCTTGCTTCCTGCTTTATTATTTTCCCATCTATTTCAATTTTACATCGTAGTGGGTATTGAGATGTCATACATTTGGACGAAATAATACTCTTTGTATTATTTCGTCCATTATTATATTAAAAAGAAGTGGGGAGTCACTGTTATAGTAAGCGTAAGTGGGGTGTTCAGTGAATTTATACCTCTATAATTGTTGGGCACTGTCTGCAAACTGTCGAAAATACTACACATTGCTGACAAGAACAAAACGCAAAGGGTTCACAATTATGTGAATTATTGCTTTCAAGAAGTTCTTTCGGTGAGGCACTTTATGAAGAAACTTTTCATAAAAACTAGCATTGACGAACACTTTTTATCTCTTGAAACCAAACAAAAAAGAGGCAAACAAAATAGTATAAACCCCGTTAAAGCATACGAAGAAATGCTCCCAATCACCGATGCAAAGAAAAAAACCTCTTGTCACTATGTGAACAAAACTTAATACCTAGGCCATACCACCAATATTATCAATCTTACCAACATCAAGTTCTGCCAGAGTTGTCTTCCAGAACCTGACGCAACTAAAGACAATGATAACGTTTAATTCAAAATTTAAAACTTTTAATTTACCATTATTTTACAATAATTGAGGATCATTAGTAATAATTGATTTTTAATATTAACGAGTTTATAATCATTATATTTACTATTAAACTAAATTTAATTAAGTGGTGAAGTATCAAAATATTACATAACATCTGATTTGTGAGTATTTAATTTACATCATAATATTAATAACATCAACAAAAGTCAATAACATCATTCCATTCACCTGTTGTGGGTGATTATCTATCAACTGATTTCTATTTTTTTGTCGCATTATCAACTGTGGTTTTTCATCGTCAGAGGCGGACTTAGTTTAAATGATTTTGAAGAAACTACAGAATGTCAATAGCACGGTTAAATCATACTCAGCACCGTTAGCTCATAACTCAAAATATAATTTATATTGTTCATGTATATCTAACAATCGAGTTTTCATATATTTGAGAGATAAAATGGAGGATCGAGGTACTTCTTAAAAATAATTTAGCCATCACAATTAACAATACTCGTCTAGTTACTCGGCGATTAATAACTCCATCAGAAAGATTGCTATACTTTTGCGGTCACTTTGCTGTACATACTCTTATGAAGAACAGTGTTGCAAGACATATATATTTTAACCCTTATTCTCCCGCAACGTTTAGATTTTTTTTGACAGTTACTTCCCAACGGTACTTTGTCCGCCTTATGTTATTGGTCAAATTTTTACAATAAGATAAAATTGTTTATTGCGGACGATCCTTTTGAGTACCTATGTGTATTTAAAATGTGTATATTTTGTGTATTTAAAACAAAATCGTTTGAATAGCATTCGAAGTTTTAAACATCAACTGAAAACGATGGTTGTGAGTGCAAGTTTATGTGGTAAGTATTATTAAATTTTATGCCTGGGATATAAGGGTACCAGAATTTGATGGTACTTAAAAGTACCGTTGGGAAACTTTAAGCAATTAATATCTGTCTTTTCTAAGAAGTAAACATCAGCGTTGCATACACTCTCACCACTGTTAATACTGTCGTCACCGTTATCACTGTTAATGTGAATTACAACTGATTCTATTTCTGTTATTAAGTTATCGATTTCTCACATACTTTGTTCCACTTTAATCACGTGATACACGTATTTGTTCCACTTTTCTGGAGTAACATAATTTTAACCTTCACGGATTACCTTAGCCTCATTAAAGTTAAATGAACAATTTTAGATGGAAAAGTAATCTTCCATGTGAGAAAAGTGGAGGAGACAAACGAACGCATTTATATAAAGAGAAACTGAGAAGCGTGGTCGAATTTATTAAAAGTATAAAATGCGTGGAAGTCTCATTCCTAGACTTCGGCAAATATGCATATTGCATATTTTGCATATTGTGCATATTTTATGCAAATATTTCATATTTTGGCATATTTGTATAAAAGTTTGCATAAAGTGCATAAAAGTTCAGATTTTTATACTGTATTTGAAAATTTTTAAACATACCAATTTATTTCAATTCTTGTATAAAATTTTTGTAGTCATTTTAATCAAGAAATGATCTAAGTACGTAATCTCTACAGGTACAAAACATTTACAATTTCAAAGAAGATCAATTTAAGTAGCCCTCAACATTCTTAGAAAGTCTCGGTCACTGAGGCATTCAGTTATTGGATAATCGCTAAGGGTTCGCTCATTTGCATTTTATGATCTAATCCCCAAATCTATCTACAATTTATTGTATCTTAACAGCAGGTAAACGGCTAATAGATTTGTTCCTAATTTAGGGATTTTCCAAAATCTCCCAGTTTTTTGAATTAGGTACCTAAACATTTCTAATTTGATGCTCAGATTTGTAAATCATTTTTGTTTTGATATTCAAAGCGTAAACACTCGTTGTGCGTAACAAAAAGGAAGATTGTGATTTTATAATGCCTAAAACAACCAGTGCTTCAACTTGGATTAAACCTTATAAAGAGCTGTCTATGGATATGGGAAAAATCTACTGTTCAGTCTGTGGCAAACTTGTAAATATCTAATATTTTCTATTAAATATCTAATATTTCATACATACAGGGTGTTTCCAAATGACACTTACAACGTTTGACTGTAGATACTTCTCGAACAATTGAACAAACCGATATAGTTAATGAGGGGTCAAACTTATTTACTTTTCGAGATACAGGGTGTTAAAATTAAAAAAAAATAAATTCTTTTAGTTAATAACAACAATAACTTTAAAACCAATAAACGTATTTACTTGAAATTTAGTACTCGTAGGTTGTTTTTAAATGAAAAATAGCTTCCTTTAGTGAGAAAAAATTGTCCATGGTACAATACAATGGTGTGTATTTAGAAAAATTTTTCACCTTTACTTTTTTTTATGAAGTCAGCTATTCTAAAACACAATTATTTTTATTGTAATTGAATTAACAAAAAAAAACTTTTGTTGAATTTTAAAATAAGTTATATGATGTACTAATGGTTAGTAACAAAAACTAATTTGTGGATTAATACTGCATTTAAAACACTTAGCGAGTGTTTTTTTTTTCCAACCAGTTATTTGATTAACCAAAAACACCTTGTATATTTTTATATTTTAAAGGTTGGGTTAAAATAAAGGTTTTTATTTTTATTTATAGATAGCATTTTATGCTTTAACAATTTTAACAACGCGTTTTATACAAGAAACATTAGCAACTTTTTTCTTCCGACAACTATTCCTTCTAATAAATTACTGCTTATTTTATCGGATGCTGCTCCTTATATGGTGAAAGCAAGACAAAATTTAAAAATATTTTTCCAGATTTAATACATGTTACTTGTGTAGCGCATGGATTAAACAGAGTTGCAGAGGAAATACGAAAAAAGTTTCCTCTTGTAAATACCATGATATCCAGTGTCAAAAAAGTATTTCTTAAATCTCCTATAAGAATTAAACTTTATAAAGAAATGCTACCTAACATTCCTCTTCCACCACAACCTATTTTAACGCGATGGGGAACATGGTTAGAAGCAGCTAATTTTTATGCAGATCATTTTGTTAAATAAAGAACCTAATTGATACGTTAACAGATGAAAGTTCCCAATCTCTTTTGGATTCTAAACAAACTTTTCAGAGTAACTTGCTTCAACAAGAACTTTCATTTATAAAAACAAATTTTAGTTTTGTTCAAAAAACAATTACTCAGTTAGAATCACCAAAACTGTCATTGTTCGAAAGTACAGCATTAATAAAAGAATTTGCGTCATGTTGTCGGAACGTTAGAGGTAATACTGGAAAAGATATTTTAAAAAAAATTTGAAGCTACTATGGAAAAAAATAAAGGTTACCATATTCTTTCTGAAGTAGTCAGTATTCTAGCTGGAAATATTTCGGAAACAATTAATTTATAATAGAACCAAATGTTTTGGTTAGTTTGAAAAATGCTCCCGTTACATCAGTTGATGTTGAACGAAGTTTTTCCATATATAAATATATGTACTCAGACAGAAGCCAGATATGTACTCAGAAGTTTTTGTTAGAAAATTTTGAACACCACTTGGTCATTTATTGTTACCATAATTCTAAAAAGTTTATTCATACTTAAAAATGATGTAGTTACTTAAAATAAATATAAATTTTAATGAATAGTAGGAAATATTTAGTTATGTACACTTTTTTTAAATAAAATTGTTACTATTTTACGATTTTTTTATTTATTTGTATGCATATTTTGTAAAATATTTGCATATTTTCGGATAAACACGTGCATATTTATGCGCATATTTTCTACATTTTTATTTGCATATTTGCCGAAGTCTACTCATTACTGTAGGGGTCGAAGTGAGAAGATATCAGTGTCGTACGATTAATGTGTGACGGATGTAGAATCCAGAATAAGAACCAAATAATTTTATCCATGGCAAGTCGCTGGCTGATACAAGCTCCAAAAACATAAAATGTATTGAAATAGGTATACCGTTGGAGGGCATTTATTCTTGCCGTCGGACAGGGCGTTTGGGATGATCGAGAAAAAACTTAAAAAAAAAGTTATTCCGACACCTGACAACTACTTTAAAATAATATCTGAAAGTACAACTTTGCAACGCCCCAATATGGATTAAAAGTTTTACGATTGGAAAACCGAAGAATTGTCTACATTCAAAGCACTGCAGAGTTTCAGATATCCAAAATAAAAAACATTTGTTTGGCACGATCATGAGAAGAAAATAACGTCGTATTGGTTAAAGGGGACGACAGCTACAACTCAAGCATCGGTTTGTTTAAAAGTATTTAAAAAAAAGGAAGATCGACCATTAACATCAGTCCAAATGAAAAAGGAGCCGGGAACTTGGCCAACATTAGCAAAGAGAAATTGAAGGTCGTAGGGAAGCTACTGGAAAGTCACTACGGCGAAGAATGGAAAAATGATGCGAAACTGGCTTATTTCAAAAACGTCCTACATTACGAAAATGTTCCAAGCGTCCCTGAAGAAGACGACGTTTATTGCGGACCACTCGATAATGACAACAACGAAGTCTTAAGAGTATAGAATTTTGGTATTAATAATTATTTTAATGTTTTAAGTACTGTTATTAAACATTTGTGTTTTTACTACAAAATAGCCAATATCCACTTGATAGTTGCAAAGTAGCCAATTTCCAAATATTTTTCTTTAATTATAAAGAGCATTTTAATAACAACCAAGAAACTAGCAACGAAAAACTGATTTTGAGCGATCAATGTTTATGGATAACGAATTTTGTGGCTCCAGGTTTTATAAATATATTTACGGTAAAAATTACGATTTATGGCAATTTTGCCAGGGTGGAGATTGGTTATTTTGCAAATAGAGGTCTCAACTAGTCAAACCTGTACTGTCCTTTTTACACAAAAAATTAATATTCCTTTAAATTTATTTTATTTACTTATGTTAAATGCGTAAATTACAATTTAAATTATATATCTCCTACTTACTTCAAATGAATTGCGTTGTGCAAGCGAATGCCGTCGGCACTGCCACAAATTTGAATAAGATCTTCTCTGGACATCCTGAACATATCATCTCCTGAAAATCTTTCGAATGTGTCCAAGTACTTTTCGAATCTGTTCAGGGACAACCACTTCGTGGTTTCTTCCGGGGAGGAATATTGATTAAGCTGGATATTCTGCAAAAAATTTTACACGATAAAATAAACATATTTTTCAACGGTTCTGGTTCTTTCCAAACTGGTTCTTTATTACAACCATTCTGCCATTCTATTACAGCGTGTTCGGATCATGGAAAATAAAAACACTCAAACTGACGAATTATATTATAACCCATATTCAGTATTACGTTTTAAAAAATTACGTCTTTTATATTATTTTCAAACTCCGCCTGCAACATTACTGCTGCCGGGTCCAAGCCTAGATAAACGAGAAGGGAGTCTTCAGCAAGGTTAGCCCCCTACTGATGATCTATAAGTACGTTGCTTATAGAGACAGGGTTATGCATCGGAACAATACGGATCCAACGATGACAACTAATGTGAGGAAAAGGAAAACCAAAAATATTCTTCGAATCGAAACGTGGAACGTAAAATCACTAACCAAAGAGAACAAGAAATGACCAAAAAACTTAAAGAGAAGTATATTGATATCCGTGCACTTCAAAAGACAAAGAAAGCGGGGAAAGGTCAAATTATGTTAGGCTAGGCGCATACACATCGAATTTGGACGGTCGATAAAAGTTCGATCGAACTTTTGTCAATGATGCCTTGCGCGCACATTACACGATATTTATTCGATGACGTTTGTTAATCCACAAAGGTTTGTTAGGTGGAGTACACAAAATCACAATGAGCAACACAGAACCACGTAGCAACACGGAGCGACGTACCTTGAGCAGTGTCAAAAGAACGCAACTGGTCCTCTGGACGGTCGATAAAGATCGATGTGGTTTGTGCGCGTTCATTTGGTACTATACGCCTTGGAACGACAGCAACGACCACGGCAGCCGTACATGCAGTGACATTCATCGATCGCCCCACAACATCGATACCGTGCCGTTTGGCGATCGATGAGTGTGCACACTCACATTTGTTTCTTCGCACCACCAAAGGAATTTGTTCGATCGAACTTTTATCGACCGTCGAAATTCGATGTGTGTGCGCCTAGCCTTAGACAACTGTACTGTGGTTGTTGCAAAAGAAACCAGAGCCAAAGAAGGGGTTGCACTATTAGTACAGAAACTTGTAAACCAAGTAGAAGACTGTAAATATGTCTGTAAATATGAATGTAAATATGTCTGAGAAAGAATAGTTCGCCTATAGATTAAACTAGATGCTAAGCACTTAAATTTAATAGCAATATATACGGAGATGTAAATACAAGAGAAACCTACGAACAGCTTCAGGGCACAGTAAACGAAATCCCACAGAATTAATATGTGTTCGTTGTACATGACTTTACCGCCCGTGTGGGGATGACAGAGCACCAGGGATAAAAAATAATATTAATATTTTTTTTTCTCATAAAAAACATGTATACATAGCAAAATACCAGCGGACAAAGATCTATGATAGACTATATACTATATCCTTTTGAATAGTAAGCTATTCCTTTCCCAAATTTTGGATAAAAGTGCACAAAACATCAACAGATACAGGAAACGATAGTGTAAGCTAGTATTGTGCAAAATTCGAATAAAAACATATATATCATAAAAATAAAATTATAGAGTACCTACACCAAAAAATAAAAGTTCAAAAACTTCCGAAACGACTTTATAACAAAAATTTATAACAAAAAAGAATAGCAGAAAGCGACGGGGTCGAGGAAAACTGGGCAAAAATTAAAGCGAACATCTTAGATTCCTCTAAAGAAGCTATGGCAAAAAAAGATTAATAAAAGCAAGTCTCTCCCAAAGTGAAAAACTCCGTGGTTCTGTATAAAGGTGAAGGAAAGTGCAAGGAAAAAAGCTTGCCTGAAATATACGTCAAACAAGACACAATAAGCGTGCGACTATTACAAGAAAATAAGAACTAAAACACACGCACTTGTAAGAAAAATTAAAGCATGATTGTTATGGTTTACAAAAAGAAATATGGCGGTTTATAAGAGGTGAAAGACAGATGTTTGAAAACGTCTATATATTTAACATAAGCATAAAATTATATGAATCACGATATATTACTGAAAAATCTAAGCGATCAGGATGATACAAACGGCAATTATTTTGCCTAAACGTATAAGGATATTAAATCCGATTAAACCTATAAAATTAGGCGTTCCTTAGGGAAGCACAATTGGAGTACCAATTCTCATTTTGCATATAAACAACAAATAAACCTATCAAGATGTCAAAGGGGTTCTTAAGTGGGGAATTAATAACCAAAGAAAACCGAATTGTTTCAATTTTAGAACAGCCACATTAAACGTGAAATGTTTTTATTAGATTATACAAACATTGTTATTGATATTTTTGGGAATTACATTTTTAAGCAAAATAAATGATGTAACATTGTCATGGGAAAGTCACATACAGTAACAAATGATCTAAAAACTATTTGTTTACAAACTTTGTTTCAAAGAAATATGTCCTTTTTATTACTTTCTTTCTTTGAAGATCTTAATAATTCTAAGATTAGGTACATAACTTCCCCTGGGTATTGTTTACTTCACCTAGTTCTAACATAACATAACCGTGTTTGCAAATTTCTTTACGTAAAAATGGTTTTAACTTACGTTGGTATGTACAACTTCCTTATGTTCCAGCCCGGGACTTGATATTTTAGGAATAATCTTCCCACTATCTGCCGAAGTATCTGCCTTAGACACCAGTAAATTATTATTCTGAACTGGAGGGTTACTGAAAAAATAAATCAAATAATTAATGATTGGTATTGTTTATAGAAAAATAAATTATGTCATGATTAGATTTTAATTGTCTCTAAGTTAACCCATTTTGTGCGTTTACGCAACACCTTAAATAATTTTTTTTAATTGGCAGAACCTACTCACGAGGATAATGTAGGTGGTTCTCACAAAATTACAGTTTACCATTTATTGAAAAACGAATAAAGTTATATATATATATATATATATATATATATATATATATATATATATATATATATATATATATATATATATATTATGTATTTTCATAAAAATGGGAATAATTTGAACTTTTGAACATGTAAAATTCGAAATAAGTAAGCGTAATTTTTTCTGTAAAATAAATAAGCATTTTTTTGCTCCTATTTACTTGAAAAAATGTTAAAAGTGATGTGTTTCATATAATAAGTATATACAAGAAAGAACTTTTTTCTAATCAAATTCAAATTGATGTGTTATGTAACCGCATCACCGGTTAAATAGTAATATAAGCGAGAACGAAATTATCAAGACCAGACTTGCAAACCACAATAAAAACAGCCAAAATCGAATACCTCGGTCACATCATGAGGAACAGCGAAAGATATGGACTGCTGCAACTAATCTTGCAGGGAAAAGTAGAAGGAAAACGGGGACCAGGAAGGCGAAGGATTTCCTGGCTGAAAAATCTACGAACGTGGTTCAACACAACAACCGCAAATCTTTTTAGAGCAGCAGTATGCAGAGTGCAGATTGCCATGATGGTCGCCAACATCCGAAACGGATGGCACTACAAGAAGAAGACTTGCAAATCTGTTATGTTCTGATTAGTTTGCATAAACGCACACGGAGTTTATGAAATTCCTTGTGCAGACTGCCGGCGATACTATACAGGCCAAACAAATCATAAAATCCAACATAGGATTTATGAACATTCCGTTTCTTTTCATAATTCCAACTCAATTTCAGCTCTAGGTCAACCACCATACTGGTCACAAAATTGATTCCTCTGACTCGTATGACTCCAGAACCATAGCCCCAATCCGCTTCTATAAACCAAGAACTATCCGAGAAGCCATAGAAATTGAAAAAAGGACAAATTGTCTCAATAAAAGAGATGACGGCATACGGTTGCCAACAACAGCAAACTTTTACAAATACTAAAGGATATGGGATGGGACAAGACGTAAGGATAATTAAAAACCTGTACTGGCAGCAAACAGCAAAAATCAGAATTGATAACAACCTGATAAAATTCGTTAGGCTTTCACGGACATCGTCTACCTTGTTAAACTGTTTGTTAGGGCTGCTAGGCCGTTGTCTTCTGAGATTAGTTCTCGACGTTTCGCCAACACTAGGGGTTGACATCTTTCAGAGATGTTATTGCTTCGCTTGTAAGTGAAACTGACGCGGCGTTGTACTACGGAGGCCATATTTATATTTTCTACTCGCCTCCCCTCCACTGGTTTTTCTTTCTTCGTGTTTTGCGGGAAGGATGTTTCGTGGATTTTAAAATTGGTATCCATGTTTTGTTAATTTTTAGTCCTTCTATCCGATTAAAATTATTTGGATGCTTATATATTTCCACCGCTTCCCGATACAATCGTGGGTAGTACAGTGATGTTTTATCCAGAATCTGCGTTTCTTTAAACAGTATCCGATGTTCTCTGCTTCCCAAAGCGTGGCTTTTATGGTTTTTATGTTCGTTTAACCTTGTGTTTGTGTGTCTTTTCGTGGTTCCCACATATACCATTCTACATAATGCATGGTATTCGGTATACTCCGGCCTTTGCTAATGGGTCGCGTTTATCCTTCACCGATCTTAAACGGTCCTTGATTTTCTTTGTAGGCTTGAAAATGGCTTTTTAAAGTATTCGATTCCCCCAATTCTGTCTGTTATCTTTGATATATAGGGCAAGAACGCTTTGCCTATACATGCTGTTTCTTCGTACTTTCTTCTAGAAATGTTGTTAATCGCTTTCTGTCTCCTCTTCTGGTGTAACCATTAGAGGTGAGCGCTTTTTCGTTGAAGATGTCAACCCCTAGTGTTGGCGAAACGTCGAGAACTAATCTCAGAAGACAACCGCCTAACAGCTCGAATAAACAGTTTAACAACAACCTGTCAAGCAAGTACCTATTAATGGAGGAGTACGCCAGGGCTGTGTGTTATTACCTATATTATTCAGTTTGTGCTTTGAAGCAATCTTCAGCAAAGGCTGTAAAAAATGTCTGTTCACTATGTCAGAATGTTCCAATGCGTATCACATAGAATGGTAACATCATGGAACAAGCAAACAAAATAAAGTACCAGAGTTGCTGGATAAACAACTAACTGGAGCCGAATCTCGAGAGAAACCTAGGGCTTAGAATATGACTACCTAAATACTATGTTTGGCGAACTATGCTATACGGAGCGGAATTCTATCCACGAACAACATAGAGGCATTTCGCATGTGGACTTACAGGTGAATATTGAAAATTCCCTGAACTACTCATATAACAAATAAACAGGTTCTGATTGTTTAAGCAAAGAAAGGGAGCCACGCCTTCAAAGGACGCAAAACATCATTGGACACTTTTTAAGGAATCAGAAATATTTTCTCCCGCAACTCATGATATCAGATAAAATTGAATGAAAACTCAAGTCGGGAGGAAAAAACTCTCTTGGATCCAAAATATACGACATTGGGCGGGTTTAAATTTAGAATTGTGTTTTAGACTATTTGAACTTACTGTTAAATATCATAAGAAATCGAGCGGTAATAATATATTAATCAAGACTCATTTTCAAATATTTGTATAAATAAAACATTCAAAAAAATATAAATTTGAATATACAAAGGGTTAATTAATTAACCCCGTTTAAGTAACAGTAAATCAATTTGAGTAAACCTAGAGAATTAAAAAAAAAATCCACGCAATATTTTAAGTGTTAAGCATAATATATGATGTACATGTTCTAAAAATAAATTTTGGATTATCTAAACTTAAACAGCAATTTATTATATAAGTTATAAGTTATTATACTGTTTCAAGTTCTACAGGTTGTTGCACCGATAATACTAGATTTAACACGAATATACTTTAATTTTTAATCAAACTATTGCAGAAATGACAGGAAATTACCGCCAGAAAGCGGTTCGCAGTTGGATGGGTATTGCGATAAAAATATTTTTAAATTAAACTAGTTCGAAATAAAATATGTAAATGTTTAGGAAAAACTGAGTCTGAATTATGAATTGTCAATTGTCACCACAAGGTGACAAATTCTAAATTTAAATATAATTAAATTACGTATTCTGGGACCAAAAATAGTTTTTTTTTCCATCCGTTTCGGATGTTGGCGACCATCATGGCAATCTGTCTTTTGCAAACTGCTGTTCTGAAAAGATTTGTGGTTGTTGTGTTGAACCACGTACGCCGATTTTCAGCAAGGAAATTCTTCGCCTTCCTGGATCCCGTTTTCCTTCTACTTTTCCTTGAAGAATTAATTGCAGCAACCCATATCTTTCACTGTTCCTCATGATGTGAGCGAGGTATTCAATTTTGTCCATTTTTATTGTGGTTAACAACTCTTCCTTTTTGCATTGTTAATAAAACGTCCTGGTTAGTAACGTGGTCGGTATAGGATATCTTCAGGATTCTATGATAAAGCCACATTTCGAAAGCCTCAATTTTCTTACAGGTAGCGTCTGTAAAAGTCCACGACTGAACTCCGTACAATATTATAGGAAAGATATAACATCGTAGAAACCTAATTTTTATGGATACTGATAAATCGTGGCATTTGAATAGCTTAGCCATTTTTTGAAATGCAGATCTTACTTTCTCTATCCTAGATTTTATTTCTAGGGAATGGTCCCAATTTTCATTGACGTTCGTATCAAGGTAGGTGTATGTTTTTACTCTTTCTACTGGTTGACCATTCACACTGATTCTTTCAATTTGCTGTTCCTTCTTAGAGATCATCATACATTTTGTTTTCTTAATGTTCAGTGAAAGTCCATATCTCTGACTCACTTCTGTGATTCTATTCATTAACTCCTGGAGGCTTCATAACTGTCAGCGAATACCACCGTGTCATCCGCGTATCTGATGTTATTGATACATTCTCCGTTAATTCGAATTCCGGCTTCTACATCTTCTACTGCTTCTTGAAAGATTTCCTCAGAGTATATGTTAAACAGCAAGGGTGATAGTATACATCCCTGTCGGACCCCACGGTTGATTTTGATATCGGATTCTCCTGCCTCTGTACGGATAGACGATATTTGATTCCAGTAAAGATTGCAGATTAAATGTGGAAATAAAGCTTACAATCCATTTAAGACGACAAAAGGACTTCTACAAGGCTGTGCTACGTCCCCTACTCTGTTTAAAATATTCTTGGAAAAGACACTCAAACTATGGAGTAGAAAGTGCGAAGGAATGGACATACCAGTAAGAGACGAATACCTATACACCTTAAGTTTTGCCGACGATCATGTAGTCATCGCACAAGATGAAGAAGATCTCAGCTTTATGCTCAGAAAACTAGAAGAATATAAAAACAACGGAATGGAAATAAACTTACAGAAAACCGAATACCTAACAACAGAAAACAAGGATATGAGAACCTAGAGATAGACGAGGGAGGACAAGTAAATGGAACAGATAAATTCAAGTATTTATATATATTATATATATATATATATTATATATATATATTTATATATATATATATAATGGCTATACACCCCAGCGTGGGGTTAAACCGCAAATGCTTTCTAGATCCTAGTTCTTAAGTGGATCAGTCTTTTTTTTTTGTTTATCTTATCTTCTTGATAATATCTCTCCATTTTTTCCTGTCTCTAGTTTTTCCTCTCCATTCACTGACTCCTGCCCTTTGGAGGTCTTCTTCAACTTCTTGCAGCCACTTTGATCTCGGTCTTCCCCTTCTCTTTCTTCCTCCTGGATTCCATTCTATCATTGCGTATGTCACTGCCTCATCGC